GGAAGAGGCACATGGGAAGAGTTTAAGGAAAGAGCACTACAGAATTTTCACAAGGAGAAGGGGCAGGAGATAATGCCAGCAATAGTCCAGACAGCGAGAGAATCGATGGAAGACTGGATAAGAAGAGTGGAAAGGGTAGCGAAGGACGTAGGAGCGTCGAAGGAAGTGATAAAAGAAAAGCTATGTGTGGGAATATACAATGGACAGCTGAGAGGAAAGGCGCTAAAGTGGAAGAATCAGAGTATAAATTTGGAGGAACTGAAGCAGGGAATAATGTTGGAAAGTGAGGACATGAAGTACAGAGGGAGAGCGCAGCAAGGAAGAAGAGCTAGAAGAGAAGGAAAATGAGCAATGGTCTGCTATAAGTGTAAGAAAGAGGGACATATGATGAAGGAGTGTCCAGAGTGAAGGAAAGACAAGGAAGAGATAAAAGGGAGAAGCCAGCGGGTGGTAACAAGTAACCCAAGAGAAAACTTGAGGGGGGGATGTTGCCAAGGGGGCTATATATTAATAATTAGTTTAATAAAATTTTATCTTGGTTTTAATTTGTTGGCAACAGTTATTGTGTAATGTTATTTTTTAATATTTCTATTAATTGTTTAATATATTTTTGGCTTTTTAGTTATTGTGTAATGTTATTTTTTAATATTTCTATATTGGTGGATATTTTTGACTTTTTAGTTATTGTGTAATGTTATTTTTTAATATTTCTATATTGGTGGATATTATTTTATATCTATAAATACACTTTTGTTTTTATAATAATATGTTCGATAATAGGCCCAGTAATAATGTGTTCGATGTTAATGTGTTCGATGTTAATATGTTCGATGTTAATGTGTTCGATGTTAATATGTTCGATGTTAATGTGTTAAATAATATGTTCAATCTTAATAAATATAAATGCAACACAATAACAACAGAAATAATCAAATTAAAGGAAGATGGAACCATATTCAATGAAATACCAAGTGAATTATTGCACTTATCATATAATATGCTATATATATGTGCAATTGCCAACTATAGTAATAGTGACAAAAGTAAAGTATCATATAAAGTGATTAAACATACAAAAACAATCATAGAAATAATCATAGAAGCAGCAGAAGAAATAGAAAATAAAGAATTGTTCTATAGAATGATAAGCAATAATCATATAATAACAATGCAAAGTTACATGATAAAGCATGCTGGAAAAAAACTCGTAAGTGATGAGGGCTCAAAAAAATCCACAATGAAACTAATGGAATTAACAGAAGACAAAAAGTATTCTAACTTACAGAGAGCATTAGACATAATAAGTCAGGATATTACTATTATGAGTAAAGAAGATGAAGATATAATGAAGACATTTAATTCAATTAACAAATATAATGAAATTAATGATTTTTTAATTAATTCTGTATACGATTCTATTTACAATGATAATAATGGTATTAAATCATATGATATATTTAATATATACTGGCAAATGTATACTATGTGTTTAAGCAGATATATAGATACAGAGTTTGAAATAACTTTGATAAGAAGATATTTAAACCAGCTATATACTGCAGATAAAATAGCAGTACAAAAAAGCATAAAACACTCAAAAGTATTAAAGACTGTTTCTACATATGGTGTAAGCACAGATACAATTACTAATAAGGTGGTTAATAACTATTTAAATGCGTTAAAGTCCAATATTGATGGAGTAATCTATAAAAAAATGGAGAACAAAGCAACAGATAGAATAGAGAAACTAAAACAAATAAAGATTAGAGAAAAAGCAGTAAGAAAAAAGAGAGAAAGAGAAATGGAAGCAGAAGCAGAAGCAGAAAAAAGAAAAAGAAAAAGAGAAAGAGAAATAGAAGCAGAAAAGAAAAGAATGAAAGAATTTGAAGAAAGTGTGGCAAAGGAAGTAGAAGAAATAAAACAAAGAGTAAACAAGGAAATAGAAGAACAAATGAATAATAAAATAAAAATAGAACGTAAAAAATACATTGCGACTATTATTATTATATTCATGCTTATACTTAATTTTATTACTATGTTATATTATAACAAAAAGGCTTCTAATACAACAAGTACTAATTAAATTTAAAAATAAATAAAATACTTAATACATTATTAGTAATATATAATAATTATTTAATACACTATGTGTAATATATAGTACTTAATACGTACTGTGTAATATATAATAATACTATAACTATTTAATATATAACAACACTTAATATACTATGTGTAATATATAATAACTATTTAATACACTATGTGTAATATATTCTGTGCTATTATCATTACTTATTATACTATGTGTAATATATTCTGTACTATCATTAACATTTACATTATGTGTATTGATTCTTTTTCATTTTTATTTTGTATGACCATAGCCAGAATATCCCCAGTGTATTTATACATTATTTATACAGTATACTCTTATAATTCGGGTTATACTGATAAATTACTCTTATTCTGTCTCTTTGATAATATTTATTAATTAAAAAATTAAAATATTTATACTTGAAATAAGGATCATAAACTATAAATAATTTAAAATAAAATATAAAAATACCTGATTATTATAAAATAAAACTATAAATATAAAAAATTTTTATTTTCAGTTACATGAGTACAGGAGCAGTAGAGCATGATATATTTAATAATATAAATGAATTAAAATCATCAAATATGAAAATATTTATTATACCAGCAATAATAGGACTTACTATAATAAGCACAGTGATACTTATTATAACAAGCATAGAAATAGCAATTTATAACAGAAAATTAATTAAACATAGAAATAACAGACCACTACCAAGAATAGTAATAACACCACAAGATAAAGAACAAGATGAAGTACTAATAGAATATAAATCAATACAGGAACAATTACAGTTAAATATTAAAAGACTGTTAAGGATAAGGACTATTATGGGCATTATTAGTGCATTATTATATATAATCAGTATAATACTGATTACTACGGATAAAGAAGTACCATATGGTATACCAGATAATGAAAGTATTGAGATACCTTATAGGAGTAAAAGGAGTCTTATACCATCTATTAATGATAATATATCTAATACTTTATTAGATAATGCTAAGAGATATTCAGTGACAGATGACTCTATAATCCTATTCTTATCATATGACATGAAGAATATAGTAAAAGTACCAGCGTATAAGCATATATTAAGGGCAGTTGAGAAGAGAGTAACGGGTGAATTACTTGACAAGATAAGGAACCATAAGAATTATTACTAGATGGGATAATCGTACTATAAGGAATACCACTAGATAGCATAGGAATAAGCTATTATTATATGGACTAAGCCATTACCATAAGGAGTATCACTAGAAGGAATAAACTTGCATGAAGGTTTCTGTGTATAAAGCATAAAGCATGGATATTTTTTTTATTCATATGGAAAGTATTTGGGATACGAGTATTTTAGCAGACTATTTTAAGTATGAGAATTATAATGGGGTTATACCACGGGATGGCTGGTTATTGAACTATCATATGAAAGAGAAAGTGTGTCCTGATACTAAGAGACTTATAACATGTGCAATTTTATACTTTATAGACAGTGACAATGAGAATTTTCGGGTTGAAGTGCCCTTTCCACCGAAAATACTTGTTGAAGCACCGGAGCATGCCCTGTCCGCTGTAGAGGATTATTTAATTGGGAAGTACCAGGATAGTATAAAGACCATAGGGATTACGAAGAGGATAGATTTACAAAAAGTGAATCATTTAGCAAGTGATGGGTCACAGTATTTAATACTAAGCATGTACTCAGAGAAAGACGCTTCTTTAATAAAAAGAGAGGTTGAAGAAATTTCCAGGCGGAATATGATTAAGAAGAAAGAAGATGCAACTTCACTTTTATTTGCCAGGGAGAAGAGGCAGTGCAATGAACCAGAACCAGAAGAGTTCATTAAAAATGTGTATGAGTATGATATTCCTGTATCTGTCCAGATGGCTATAGAACTGAATATTAATGCAGGTAAGTGGTATACAATTGAGTATAATGGGAAATATACTATAACTGAATCATCAAAAGTGATTCCGCCTGATTTAAGGATATTCTCATTTGACATTGAGACAACCAAAGACCCATTAAAGTTCCCATCTGCAGATAAGGATCAGATCATGATGATATCTGTTATGACAACTCTGGGTGGCTGGTTGTTAATTAACAGGGAGACAGTTGGTGCAGATATACAGCCATTTGAGTTTAGACCAACAAGTGATATTGGAGGTGAGTTTGATATCTTCAATGAAAAGAGCGAGAAGCACCTGTTGAATAAGTTTATGGAATTACTGCATACGTATAAACCACATGTTATAACCACGTACAATGGAGACTTCTTTGACTGGCCGTTTGTTGAAAAAAGACTGGAAGTCCATGGTATAAACCTGCACACTTCACTTGGGTTTAAGAACAACACAAAGGATGAGTACGTTTGCGATTATATTCTTCATTTAGACTGTTATAAATGGGTGAAGAGGGACAGTTATTTACCTGCGGGCAGTCAAGGCCTTAAAAGCGTAACAAAAGCAAAGCTTGGATACTTCCCTGATGAAATAGATCCAGAGAATATGGTACACTTCGCAAGGACTAACCCAAAATTAATGGCATCGTATTCTGTATCAGATGCAATTGCCACGCACTTTTTGTACTTAAAATATGTCCACCCATTCATATTCTCACTTGCATCTTTAATCCCACTTCCACCGGATGATGTGCTTAGAAAAGGGTCAGGCACACTGTGTGAGACTCTTCTGGTGAAGGAGGCTTATTTCTGCCATGTATTAATACCAGAAAAAAAAAGAGCACCACTTCTGCATAATTACAACGGGCGCATGGCCGAGTCAATTTCGTACGTGGGTGGGCACGTGGAGTGCTTAAAGTCGGGAATATACAGATCTGATTTTGAGTATGAGTTTACCTTTAACAAAGAGTATATTGACAGAATGATTAGTGAGGTGGAGAGTATAGTGGATGTAGAGCTAAAAGGGAAGGAGTGCTTGAATAAAAAAGAAGTAGTGGAAGATATACAGATTAAGCTGAAAGATCTGGCCAGCATGAACAAAGCGTACATGAAACCACATATTTATCATTTAGATGTAGGTGCCATGTACCCGAATATTATCCTTACAAACAGACTGCAACCATCTGCTATAACAGATGAAAAAAAGTGTGGCCAGTGCATTTATGCAGAAGGAAAGGACATCTGCCAAAGAAAAATGAACTGGAAGGGAAGGGCAGAAGTACTGGCCGTTGATAAAAAATCAGTTGAAACCATTTCAAAGAGTACAAGAGAGGCATTTTATAAGCAGAGGAGGGATATATTAACTAATAAGGGCACACTCCCTAACCAGAAAGGTGGAAAAATGCCCAGATTTGAGGAGCAGTTCAAGAACAACTTAATTGAGCATGCAAAGAAGACAAGTAAGAAAACCAGAGAGATAGTGATTGAGGATAAGAAGAGTATTATCTGTCAAAGAGAAAATCCTTTCTATGTGAATGCCGTAAGAAAATTCCGAGACAGAAGGAATGAGTATAAAAGACTAGCAAAGCAAGCAAAGACAAAAACAAAAGAAGCAGAGGCAGAAGCAGGACCAGGCACAGAGACAGCAGTGGAATGGGCCAAGAAAGCAGGCATATACGATTCTCTACAAATTGCGCATAAATGCGTTCTGAACTCATTCTATGGGTATGTTATGAAGAAGGGTGCCCGGTGGCACTCTATGGAAATGGCAGCTGTAGTTTGCCAAACAGGCAGTTCTATCATACAAAACACTAAGACAGTAATTGATGCATTTGGTGTTACGCTGGAGTTAGACACGGATGGTATCTGGGCATTACTACCAGAATCCTTCCCATTGAATTATACGCTTAACACGAAGGAGGGACCGATTGGATTTTCGTACATCTGCTCACTTCTGAATTACATGCTGCTGGATCTTTTCAGTAACCACCAGTACCAAATAAAAGAAGAGACTGGGGAGTACGCAGTTACATCAGAAAATTCAATTCAGTTTGAAATTGACGGTCCGTACAGGGCAATGTTCCTGCCAGGGTCTACAAAACAAGGAGAGTCAATTAAAAAGAGGTACATCGTTATAAATAACAAAGAGAAGATATCCGAGCTTAAAGGGTTTGAGTTTAAAAGACGGGGCGAGCTTAAATTTGTCAAGTCCTTCCAGGAGGAAATGTTCAATCTGTTATTAAGTGGCAATACGCTGGAGGAGTGTTATATGACACTCGCAGAGTGTGCTGACTACTGGATAGATATTATTGAAACAAAAGCACAGGCACTCGCACAGGATGAAATATTCAACTACTTTGGAGAGACACGGAATATGTCAAAGAGTGCTGATGCACTTTCTATGGTGAAGACCACGTGTCTCACTGCAGCAGAGAGATTATCAGAACTCCTTGGACAGAATGTCGTTGTGAAGGGAATGTCCTGTTCATTCATTATTTCAAAATACCCAGAGAATGAGCCAGTCACTTCTCGGGCCATTCCTCAGTCAGTATTCTATGCAGAGAAGGGTCAAAAGGAGAAGTATCTCCAGAAATGGCTGAGAATGAAAACAGTCCCAAACGATATTCGGGAGATAATTGACTGGTCGTATTACTTAGAAAGACTTTCAAATATAATAGCAAGGATTATTATTATACCGGCATCACTTCAAGGCCTGAAGAACCCTGTGGGCAGAGTCAACCCACCGCAATGGGCAGTGCACCACAAGAAAATAACTGAATTCTTCAAGAAATCTGAGAGTACCGCAGAGAATATTAATCCATTAAACAGCACACGCACAGCACAGAAAAAACCTGAAAAATCACCAGTAGAGGAGAAAAAGGGCCATAATCAGAGTCTTGTTGATTTCTTAAGAGTCCATTCAAGCACCACCCCGGGCGTGATGACAGAAAATGAAAAACCATCGAAAGATGAAAAGTCCGTTATAGCAATTAAGAAAATCACGTCGTACGCATTCACTGCCGTATACGTAGAAGGCAAGAAGCTCATTGAGAAAGAGATCAAACAGAAGAAAACCTTCTATTTACACGCAGACACATCTGTCCTTGATAGGATTATTGCAACGTACACTGCACTGAACAGCACAGAAGTATCCGTAGAGAAAGTGGTTAAGCATGCAGTTGGTATAACGGGCAGAAGAGAGTTTGTGAAGGTGGTGATGGACCCAGTAGAATTCAATAGTAAATTCCATAAGTACACAAACTTATTTGAATCTCCAGAGATTAAAGGTATTTATGAGCTAGACGTACCAAAGGAAGTGCGTGCACTAAGCATGGTAAAATTTAAAAGAGTCCCCGTATACGTAATAACCACATGTACATCAGAAGGGAAGCCGATTTATGCGTTATACACAGGATTAAGCAAATCACCTACACCCAGAATCCCAGAAGTATTTGAACCATCCACGGTGGGTGTACATCTGTTTGATAACCGGCCGGATTTAGTAAAGTACCTCAAGCCGCTAGATCTTGGTGTAGTCTTCTATACAAAGAATTCTTCATTATCTGCGATTAAAGTAAAGCACTGCGTAATGGCAATTGACGTGTTAGTCACAAAAACCATCCAGGACAAGTCTGCTGCAATATCTGCCCTAATGGAAACATTAAATAAAGCAGTCAAGAAAGCCCAGAAACAAGTGGATATCTCTGAATTTGCAAATATTCCGATACTTCCGATCGAATTCTCCAGGGAAACACTCATCTTAGACTACCTCCATTATAAAGAAAGAGAGTCTAAGCATATTATAGGATGGAATGACACGCACTATAAAAAAAGAATTCATTACACACCAGAGGCACCTGATGAAAATCCATTTAAAAAGGAGTTATACAGAGAAGGTGTCTATGAAGGTATCTCAGTCGGTGTGTCAGTGACAGGCAGTGTACTACTCTGTATAATTGAAGCAGACACTTTAATGAAAGAAGAGCGAGCCAATTTCAAGCAGGGAATTGAAATGGAAGCAATCCAAAGCCTTATAAAGAAAGTAGTCTACCACTGCATTAAGAAAACATCAGGTGCCCAGGAGATAGCCAATAATATTCCATACTGGGTCAGATCAATAGAAAAGACCAGTTCAGTAACAGAATTCATTGCTTCTCGTATATCCCTCCTTCAAATAAAATTCATTTCTGGGGTCGTATCAGGGATTAACAGGAGTGGTGGTGAAGTAATTGCAGCAGATGGTGAAGATTTAATAATTCATACGGGCCAGTCTACAAAGCATTCAGCACAAGCACACTTAGACCAAATATTCACAGAAGTAAGTAATTTATCGTACGGTTCACTTCTAAGACTAAGAGTCTCCCAGTGGTATAAGAGAGTGTTAATGGTAGACCAAGCAAATTATCAAAAGATACTTCTACTGAATGACCGTATGGTAAGTACGTTTATTCATCCGGTCCCCAGTGTGATAATTGATGATCTCCTTAAGGATGATGATTTAAGTGCCTTAGAGTACATTAAAGAGGCTTACATGCAAAGTACATCAAATGGGTTTACTATCACTAGGTTACTTATTAAGATATACGGGTTAAAGCATAAATCACCAGAATTCTCCAGGAAGTCTGCTAAGATTGTTCAATTAAGTCCATTCTCTGAGGAGATACTCCGACCGTTTGGTGAATTTACGACGGTCACCATAGAATGCCAGTGCTCTGCAACGACTGTTATTCACTCACCACATAACCCGATTACGGCACAGTCGGAGATTGACGGCTTCTTTAATGAACTGATTCAGCACAGTCAGCGGATAGATTTAAAGTGCAAGAAGTGTCTGGTCCCATTCACTCGGCTGGTTATTGAAGAATCCATTACTCGCCAAATCCATGCAGTCACGAGAAGAGTAGTAAAAATGGAGAGGAAGTGCGGTGTGTGCAAGAAGCCAAGTTTAAACCCACTTGCAGCCAGGTGCGCTTGTGGTGGAAGACTCTCCAGGGAGATTAAGCAAGAAATCAATACGGCTGTGAGTGATATTATATCTATATGTACGATTGCACCAACTATCTCTATAATTATATATGCTAAAACAATGATTGACTACCTTACTATAAAATAAACATAAAATAATTACCATAAATAGAGAATGTACCTGATAAAATTGCCATAAATAGAAATTTACTATAAAAACCGTTATTTGTTAGATTTAATATAATCCAGTATATAACGGATGTTTTTCTATTAATCTAGTAAACTCTGCATTCTGTGCGCTCAGTATTAAACTAATCAATAATTCTCCTGTCACTGGGATTTTCACTTTAACAGGACCAGCTGCCCCACTGGGAGCATGAATAATACTGTCCTTGGTCAGAATACAATTAGAGTAACTCCCCATTATATACTTATCTAACTGAATATTCTTATACTCCTCCCTAATAAACCGTGCCCCATTATCAACTACTTCCTTTAGGTTTGATTCTTCCATGGCAGCAATTTCATCCCTTGCTTCATTAACTATCCTGTCTACCTCTGCCCATCTCCTGTTTATTCTGCCATTGTATACTGATACTGTATTATACGTTAATAACCCTATAATACATAATAATACTATTAATAATACTATATAGAACAACTTCTTACTTGCTGCATTTGATTGCATACCATCTAAGCAGAGCCCTCCTTGTAGTGATACTGTCCTGTACTCACCCCTGATTAAATATCCTGGACTTATGAATGCTTTATATACGGTAATACCTAAGCATATCAGTAATAGTACCCCTATAATGCCTGCTATAATATAATACGTCTTAGGCTCAGTTGGTAACCTGTTTATTCTACTGTATGTATTAATTACTTTTTTATGTTGATGATTACTTAGTGTATGCATTATTCAGTGTATAAAAAAATTTAATTAAATATTTCTTAAAACAGTAAAAACTGTTAGAAATTCACAGAAGAACCTGAAATTAATTTATAATAATTTTTATTCTTAACGGGTTTAAGAAGATTTTTAATTATTTGATTTATTGGATTATACTAAAATGATTCTGCACTGTGCTAAGAACTTCTTGTATCGGAACTGTCCCTGATTTTTTATGAACCTGTGAATTTTTGAGTGCAGGGATAAATGGAAGGTTAAAGGATTTCTTGACTAATGAATTAACCTTATTATAATCACACAGTGAATTCTTGCACGTACCAAGCACGGCCGCTTTGAATTCTTCAAATTTAATCTCCCGGTCTTCCATTTTCTTAAGAAGACTGTATCCCATTGTGTCTAAATAAGCATATGCTTGACGCTCTTCAATTCTTGCTTGATCCTCTGACCAGTTCATGTACTGCTTGAACTCTTTTAATAGTACAGGGACTGATGAATGGGCATCCCTTACATTGAAGTATGCGAATAAACTACGTCTGCCTAAATAATCGGATATTCTCCTGACGTGTTCATGATCTATTGTATACGGTACTTCTGCTGTTATATACGGATGGTTTACATCTATCCTGGTATAATTGCCATTTGCGTATTCACAGACTTTCCTGGCTCTGTCGCCGTATGTTGACACTAAGTGCTCTGATATATCCTGTGGTATACCGAAGGTTTTTGATAAGTACGTGGGCATATTTACGTGATATTCATGGCTGCCTATTAACCTGATATATTTTGTAATGCATTTCTTATGCGGGAGTCTGAATGTTCTGGCTGCTTCTGTTACTGCTTCCTCTGCCATTTCTCTGTAACTTGTCCACTTCCCACCGGATATTGTTAATAGTCCTGATTCTGACTTATCAATAAGGTGTGACCTAACAATGGCCGTGCTGTCCATGCCTGCTGATGGATCCATGGCAAGTGGTCGTATACCTCCCCACGCACTCAGAATGTTTTTTGCTTTGGGGATGAGTTTTCTCTCTACGAATTCTCCCATTTCATTAATTAAGTAGTTTACGTCTTTCTCTGCTGGCATTGTGTTTGTTCCTGTACTGTCTGTCGTACCAAGGATTGAATGCTTTCTCCATGGAAGTAGAAATAAGACACTTCCATTTTTTGTGCTTGGATTGAGCATACCGAACTTGCCCGTATACCCTCCTGGGATTACTAAATGAACACCAACACTTGGTGATATAATTTTCGGAGTCTCTGGATTATCAAGTTGTCTAATTTTGTCTGTGAATGGGCCAGTTGCATTTATCACACCTGTACACTCGACCGTATGCTGCCTTCCCGTTTCTTTATCCTGGAATGTCACCCCCACAATTTTCCCTTTGCTCTTTTTAAACCCAATAACCTCGCAGTAATTCAGTGCAGTCCCTTCATGGTATATGGCCGTTTCAATAAGCATAGTGTTCACTCTTGAATCATCCATTTGTCCATCAAAATATACCATTCCTCCTGCAACCTTTTTGTAGTCAATTGTTGGAAGAACTCTTTTTACTTCTTTCTTATTTATGAAATAACTCTTCTGTACGCCAAGACTCCCGGAGAGCCAGTCGTACACTTTTGTTCCCAGCCAAAAATATGGAATGGTTATTGTATGCCGGATTGGGAGGAGTATCCCTACTTCTCTTGTTAAGTACGGTGCCAGGTTTAGAAATGACTTTCTTTCCCGGAGTCCTTCAATTACCAGTGAAAGCTGTTTATAGTCTAATTCTTTAATTGCTTTTTCTAAATACCTAATCCCACCGTGAATTAATTTTGTACTTTTTGAGCTGGTTCCACTTGCGAAGTCTTCCCTCTCCAGGAGCAGTGCCGAGTACCCTCTTGATGCAGCATCTAGTAAACATCCAGCACCAGCACTTCCTCCTCCAATAATCACTAAATCATACTTTATATTAGTAATATTGTTAATTGTAGTGCTTCTTGATGGTGGCATCCAGTTCATTGGGGTACTTTTATTGTACTTTTGTTTATACTTTCTCTCATCCTCTTTCATTAAAATATGCTCAAGAATCACTGCACCAGTCAGTGCTGTTATACATGCACTCCTTATAATTCCCATTCTTATTATTTGTTAAACAAACAAGAATTTAAGGAAATGAATTTGTTCATTAAAGGCAAAGTACATTTTTGTTTATTTCTTTTGTTAAAAACCCTTCACTCCGCATTTACTAGTAAATGGACTGTGGAGACTTTTCATATTTGAATTATTGAGCCTTTCTGGTTTCTTTTTGACTTCCTCGTATTTCCTTTTTATTCTTAGATGTCTCTTTTGATTTTGAGTTAGATGCGTCTCTGATGTCTTTTGTTACGTTTCCTTGTTTAATGAAGTCAAAGGCCATTCTAATAATCAAAACAGACCAGTACGCGTTTAGTAAGAATACACCCAGAAGAAGAATCCAAATGGGGACTAAGTACATACTGTTAAACTCCCAAAGGAATCCGTACCCAGGGATAAGTATCATAGTTGAATAAATGAATATACGCGGAATGATAAATAGTCCTGCGAAAATAATAAATAGAATGTTCCCCAGCTTCTGGTACCCTAAATAAACTGCTATTTTAGCTGAGTCCATCCATGGATCAGATACATCATGTAGGAACATAATGAATGCACCGTACCGCAGGAAGTTATACCTATAAGAAAAGCACACTAAGACCAGTGTAACAAAATGATGATATATCATTAAGTAAAAGTCCGACTGTTTCTCTTCAAAGAACATTGTGATAAAACTCCCACTGTAGTAAACCATTGCAAGCATATAGTAAAGGTTTATCTTCGATGGTGTTGCATTATTATCCCACTGCAGAGTAATTCCAAATGGGGAGAATATCCAGTCCTGGTCGAATAAACAGTATGCACCACACATGCTAAGAATACCAAAGCAGAAGACTTTCCACAGTGCCCGTGTGAATTTCCTTCTGTCAATATTTTTATTATCCACTCTGGCAAGTGCACGTATAAGCAGCTCTGAAATGATTCTTTTTATAATGTAGTGGAATACAATGTAAAATCCAATTCCTCCGGCGTATAGAACAATATCACAAGGAATTCTTATCGCAGGATCTAAATTTCTGTCAACCCATTCCTGTCTCATATCCAGAAGGATCTGTTCATATATAACTGGATAGTAAAACAATGTTTCACTTTTATTTTTATGGACAAAACCAAGCAGGAGGGAATTCTTATGCTGGAGGATATTCTGTCAACAGTGGAGGAGATTTTACTCCTCTCTAAGATCACCATGACAAACAAGGAAAAGGACATTCACCGTGAGATAAAAGAAGGTTTCCAGCTAAAAATGAAAACAGAGCAGTTAATAGTAACTGTTTCATCTCTGTACAAGATAATATTACAACTAGAGACACATCAAGAATGTTCTAAGCTCTGGAAAGAATCAGAAGATATTTCACCACTCGTAGCACAGAAAAGGAAGAATCTTGAATACCTCATTGAATATTTAGACAAAATGAAGGATTCTTCATAATTAAATATATTCTAGCCCGATATAACCCGAATTGCTTACTTATTCCTGTGATAATTTCTGGGTTTATGCTTTTTATGTTGTTTACTCTCTCCAGCACAGGGATCTATAATAAAAAATATCCGAAAAATAAATTCTTATATAAAATCAGGAAATCTTAATTTATTATCAGAAATAACCATAAATAAACAAAAACTTGTATACCCCTGCAGATAAAAAGAAACATTAACAGAAATTTACAGAGACTAACTGTAAAAATAACGGTTTTAGTTAGTTTAACTAAATTTTCAATCTAATCTGAAAATATCAAACACAAATTATCAATGTACGTCTATTTAATCTTTTTATAGCATGGCGTACTTCTGTGTCCACTCCCGTGCTATTCTCATATACTCTGCCTTGTTTTCATTGTATAACTTAGATATGTTAGTGTCTAATGGATCCAGTGGATTTGGGTCTGCTAACAGGGAAGTAATTGACAGCAGAACCTTTGATATGGTTAAAGCAGATGACCACTCCTTGCCTATAATATCTAAACATATGTGGGTGTCTTTTATGTTGCAGTGGAATATCTTTGTGCACACTCTTACCTTTGGAGGGGCGTACGGATAGTTCAACGGGAATGCAATGTCAAATTCAAACGAACCGCCTTCGTACGGTGTACCCTCTGGTCCAAAAATCGTTGCTTTCCATATAAGCAAATTGTCTGAATCGGCTGGTCCTGCACTGAAGCATGCACTCGTGTCATTGTTCATTTCTGCTAAGTCATTTAGTATTCTTTTAATATGCTGACCGCTTTCTTTATATTTCATCCTTTGTTCCCCCCAAATATTTGCCATACTAATAAAATGTTTCAAGATATTTTTTGTATGAAACGCAAGAAGCTAACTTTTGCACAAACAACACTGCCTCTGCCGTATGAGTATAAGCTAAGAAGGTACAAACCCAGAAGAATCAAGAAGGATGAGTCTAAAGAGGTCGATGAGATAGAAAGGTTTGCAACATACAACACGGGAAGAAAGCAGGAAGAGAAAGAAACAGCGCAGTCGCATAATGTGGTTTTAAGAAGACATGTGCGAAGAAAAGACTTGGAGTTAAAAGTAAGAAAGAATGCCATGGATGCAGATGGGATAAAGGAACCGCCGGTACCTTCTCATTTTGAAATTGTTCCTGTGAAGGAAGAGTCGAGTAATGTAGTGTATACATTTGATGTTGTTCCTTGGGAGAGCACTGTAGATGGCATTCCTAATGAAGGGGATACGGAAGATAAACTTCTACTAGATCATAATTACGATATATTACAGTGGGAGCAAAGGGTTGTTTATGATGATGTTAATATTAATACTACCCGGCTGGATACACATTTAGTCATAGATGCCAATGATAAAAACCTATTATTTGATATTATAGACAAGGAGAGTCCCAAAGAGAAAAAACCCAAGAAGAAAAGGCATCATATACGGCTACTGTCTGGTAAGTATAATATATCTGGGGACAAGAATTATGTTGAGCCAAATGAGACATTAAAGAGTGCGCTTGGTATACAGGGCGTGCAGCACTCAATTCCTGCCTTAAAGCTAGCACCAGAGCTTTATAAGACGTACTTAAGCAAGGAGGAGTTACGGGCATTCCATCGGCCTCCTTTGCATATGACAGGAGGAACTGAAATTAAATTCTGCCCTTTAATAGAAAGCACCGCGAAGCCTTCTTCAATTCTAAAGAAAAAGAAAGAACTAACACTGCGGGATACTGCAGACTTTGTTCTACTAGAGTATTCAGAAGAAATACCTCCATTAATTATGAAGAGCGGTATGGCCAGTATTATAACTACTTTTTACAGAAAAAGTACGTCAAAGGATAATCCTTCCTTTGAGCCAGAAATAGGCAGTTTGACCGTATTAGAGCCAAAGGATCCATCTCCATTTCTTTTCATTGGGGATGTCCAGCCTAATGAAGCTATTTCTGGGGTAGTTAATAATTTGTACAAGGCCCCTCTGGCCTTTCACGCAAGCAAGGATTTAATTGCAATTAGACCAAAGGGAGAAAAAACTTCATATTATATTCGGACAATAGATTCAGTTGGGTGTGTAGGGCAGACTCTTCCTTTAGACGAGGCATTTAGCCCGCATTCCAGGCGGCATAATGTGTTTTGTAAGAATCGAATGAAGGTGGCTGCTTACCGGCTGTTTTATGAGAAGGGAAACAAAGAAAGGAAGATGTACATCTACCAGCTAGATGAGCTATTTCCTCATTTTAGCGAGGGCAGCAAAAGAAAGTGGCTTAAAGAGTATTCTGAGTGTATAAAGAAAGGGAAAGATAATGTGTGGGTTTTAAAGCCCTCAGCGTCTCTTCTGAGCGAAGAAGATCTCCGCCGGGCAGTTACTCCAGAAAAAGTCTGCCAATACGAAAGTATGTTGGCCGAGGAGCGTCGCTTAAAGGATGCTGGTATTGTTCTAGCATCTGTAGAAGAAGAAGCTGGAGATGATGATGAACTCAAACTGACTGTATGGAATTGTACAAGAAACTTTGTAAATGCAACCAACGGAAAAGGCATTCTGGAGATAACCGGAGCAGGCGATCCCACGGGAATTGGCGAGGGATTTAGCTTTGTCCGAGCAAGAAGAAAAGAAAAGGAAACCGAAGAAGATGGCGAGAAAAAGACAACTGTAGAGCAGATGCAGGAGTATAAGGATGAGATTAAAAAGATATGGGATGCACAGATTCACTCTCTAAAAAGCACTAAACTACCAGAGCCCCCTGTAAGAGAAAAGGAAAAAGAAAGCATAAAAACCAAGAAAATATTCACAGAGACAAAAACAGGAAAGATTCTTTCAATAACCAGAACTATCATGCGCGGAGACAAAAAAATCCAAGAAACAGAAGTGGTTGTTGATCCTCGCGTGATAGAAGCGTACATGAAGTCAAGAAAGAAGCAGAAAAAAGAAGAAGCCAGAACTTCTTTAAAGTGCGGTTCATGCGGCCAGATAGGGCACATGAAAACAAATAAAACATGCATGAACTATAAAGGAAAGACCTCAGAAAAAAAGGATAAAAAGAAAAGTCCCTTACTGGTCCTGAGTGAAATCATTATAGGAGTGATTAAAGAACTGTTTGCTGTTCCCTTCTCAATTGCATTCCACCGACCTGTTTCGATTAAGAAATTCCCAAACTATCCCAATTTTATTCCCAATCCAATTGACCTTACAACTATGAAAATGAAAGCCCGTAACAGTGAGTACAAGACATACAATGACTTTATTAAAGATGTACAACTAATGAACAGTAACTGCAGTACATACAATGGAGTGGGCCACTCTCTAACTAAAATATCCGAGGAAATGCTTGGCGTAGCAATTACTGCCTACACAAACAACAAAGAAGCCATTGATATGTTAGAAAGTGCTTTAAATAATAATAATGATGAATAAAAAGTAATTCTATAAAGATTCCATCCTATGAGAAAGTGTTTTGTATTATAATACTTCAAGCACTTTCTGATTATTCATTTTTTATTCGGGTTATTTCAGAATATTCTAAAATGTATAAAAGACTTCATTAATAAAGTGAAATAAAAAAAGTGAATGCCTTTTACATTTTCTGTAAGACATAAATAAAATAAAAAAATAGCATGCATATACAGAAAAATCGTATAATTACACAAAAAACACAATTATATTCAACAGAAGAAACTAACAGTTACTATTAAATATATTACACATTCTAACATAATTATATACCACTTTAAAATAGCATAAGGTATAATATAATGACAGATTATATAAAATACTGTTTATTATAGTAATTAGGGTGTATCATATACTTAGTAGTATGATTATCTAGGTATTATAAGAGTGTTACTAAATATTTACTCTTTATTTCAGAGGTTTGTATTTTCAGAGAACTGCACTGCTTAAAAATACATTACTCCTATTCCATCCATTATATTTCAGACAAGCGGAATTAGAAGAGTTGCGTATATTCGGGTTATATAATAGAAAGTATTTTTAGTAGTATATGCATAAGTAGTAATTATACCAAAATTTTATATGTTCTTTTATAGAGTTGATTTATTAGAAAAAGTGATTAAGATACTTTAATGAACATTCAATTCTTTTTTTATACCATTAAACAAATTAAATTAATTTATCCATTTAGAAAATAAATATATTGGGATATATTATTTTTCCAATTTAGACTGTATTGCAATTAAGTCTAATTTATGTATGCAATATGTGCGTATTAGTATTAATTAAATAACTTATATATGATTCCTATTATGCTAGGCCCAGCACACAATAATTATACTATAATAGAATTATTTATTGATTTTTATAAACATCCAATTTCTATTTTATATGAGCTTAATATTTTAGAAAAATACGTTATTTAAGCCTAATTTTTTTGCAAAAAAAATTAATGAACTCAAAAGAACATCAGCTAAAAACACGTATACAAAAAGAGTTCTCTAATGAATGCAATGGAATCCTCATGGATGTAAAATATATTCTAAGCAAGATAATTAGAATAGCAGCAAACACATACAAAAGAGATTCCACATTCAATGAAAAGTACCCAATGCTAAAAAATTTAGCATATAATACATTTATATCATTAGTGGTATATCATGCGTATATGGTTAAAGAAATCAATGAAGACGCGATTATTCATATGATTGATGAATCTCTACGTTTAACTAATATATCTATGGATGGTATTGAAATGGGTGCATTATTATTACCGCAAGACAAACAGAAAACTGCATTTTATAATATGCTGGATAAAATGCACATATTTTCAACCCATTCAATTTCATTTTTGGCATGCATAAGAAATGACATTTCATGGGCAATAAATTTGCAGTCTTATGGTGAGAATAGCCAGATTGATGAATCACATTCTATGCTTGCACTAAAAGAATTATGCCAAATGAATGAATCAGGGGAATATTCAAATCTTGAAAGAGCACTAGATATAATAACAGCAAATATAGGCAATTTTACAACATACGACAACAACAATAATTTGCAATCCAACATACAGAATCTTAATTTATCTGATAAAGATGTGCATTTATTACAGTTGTTCACATCTTGTCGTATAGAGTATTTATACAATTTTTGTGGCTGTAATGGACAGATCTATACAGATTAAAAGTAAGAACATCGATGAAGAAGAAATTAAACAAGGATTTAAAAAGTCGCATATAAAAAAGACACTGGATTTACCAATCATAAAAGAAATGATTTCTACTGGAATTGAGTTTATAAAAAAAGCACCACGTATACTAGAAAAAGATCCCGAATTTAAAGAGTATTCTAGCTATATGGTATTTCTTTTAAAATTCATTTTAGAAATACTTAGTTTTTGGGGTGCCACAGCTATACTTTCTCAGATTCCAATACTTAAAACTAGAATTGAAAAAGCTATTTGTAAAGCTTTTCCGGTTTCTATAGGATATAGTTATATATTTTCTACAATATCTTCGTTTTTTGTTTTTGATAAAGTCATGAACACATCACACAATGCGATTATTAATAGCACATTTAGACTAATGTTGTATGCATTACAAGAAAATGAAGTTTATGCCGGTTATACTGTAGAAGAAAATGAGATGATAGAATATATATGTTATTTGAATAGTATGAATATGAATGAATTTAAGGAGAATGTGATTGAGAAGCATAGGCAGATTATTAAAAACCAGTTAGATCTGATTTTTAGTTCACCACTTAATATGACACTAGAAAGTGTATTAAATGAGTCATTAAAAGAGATAACAGCAATTGGTTATAAGGATAAGGGGCTTAAACCAACAGATAAATTAATAGAAATAGTCGATGAACTTGAAAATGTTACCATAGTAAATGATTCGCTCAATCATGCTGAACCCCATATTATTCTGATTAATATGGAGAATATAGAAACAAAAAATGACACACCAATTAATACACAGAGAAACACTATGGATATAGAGATTATTTCAGTAAATGATGAAGATACTTCTAATAGTAATAACTCTAATATAAGGTTTCCCAAGAAAGAACAAGCTATTGATGAAGTGGCAGAAGATGCACTTTTTGCTGATTATTCTTCTATGGATGATTATCAGGTAGAAAGGGATGTTAATACAGCGCAGGAAATTATTTCTGCCATAGTTAAACCACATGCCAGTTTAACACAAGAAACAGAAAAAACACAAGAAACACAAGAAACACAAGATGTCATTATTACTCCCCCTGGGCCACAGACTAACTCTTATGCAATGAAAATATTCATTAACCTACGCAATTTATGCCGTATGCCTTTCAAATGTACCACAAGTATTGGAATAACACTGATTTTACTATTATTAATCAACAGTATACTTATATTATGCTACTATAATAGAACATATTTATTTATATAATAAATTATATTCACATAATAAATATTGAATTTATTTTATATTCTCGGTTTATAAATTATTGAATATTTTCTTATACTCCCAGAAATTGCTTAAATAAAAATATATACAGAGTCATAGACTAGATTATACACAGTGCAATAATATTTAAATTATTGTTTAGCTTGGCCTATAATTTGGTATAAATGAATAATCATCTAATGTTTCATACCACAGACGCATTCGCGAATTTACAAAATCAAAGAGTGTATGGTAGCATTCAATTTCTCTATGATCTGATATTAAGTCGAACTCTATTCCATTGAGGTAGTAGTCGCACTTTTTATTTAGTGCCCATAAAATAGCATAAACCTCTTTTTCTGCAGGAGTAAGCTTCTTATGCTTCTTACTCAATGTTTTTGAATAATACCCTACTACGCCAGAATCTTGTCTTAAAACTGCGTATATAGTGGTATCGTTTGTATTTACTTCTAAAGTAAATCTTTTTGTATAGTCTGGGATTATTAGCACAGTTTCTGCAGTTAATTTTCCTTTGGCTTCAGTAAATGCCTTTTTATGGGTACTATTCCATTTCCACGGCTCTCCTTTTTTTACTAGTTGGTATAGTGGCCTGAGCGTTTCAGAGATATTATAAAGAAAACTTTGATTTTGCTGAAGTGCTCCTATAAATCTCCTTAACTCCTTTTTGTTTCTTGGTTCAGTATATTCCTGTATATATTCTAATTTGGAGTCGGTTGGCTTGATTTTATTATGGCTTATTTTATACCAAATTAATTCTATTTCTTTAGTAGCCCACACACTTTTCTTTATATTTATTTCCACTTCATATTTTTTCAAGTGATGTACCACCGATGTTACGTCTTTCTTGTGACTAGCCAGATCCTTTGAATATATAAGTACAGTGTCTACATATACAAGACAACATTTTTCTAGGAATAATTCTAGCATATTTTCTATTGTCATTTGAATTAGATTCATTGTATTCCTATACCCCAAGGGGACAACTGTAAATTTATAATACTGCGATCCAACTATAAATGTAGTTTTATCTTGGTCTTTTTCATCCAGTGGAATATTAAAGGAAGCATCTTCTATAAATAACTTCGTAAAATATTTCATGTCTCTTAATTCATCCAGCATTATAGTTTTATTTGGAATATGTGCATTATTTCGCTGTGTTAGCTGATTTAATTTACTTAAATCCAAGCAGAGCTTCCACTCGTTATCTGAGTTTTTTATTAGAACAACTGGAGATAGCCACCTATTCTTTTCTGCCGGCACTATAATTCCTCTTTTTAGAAATTCTTGCATTTTCTCTTTTGCGATCTTAAACTTCTTATATGATATAAACCTTCTTACCTGGGGTACATTACCAGGCCTTGTTTTTAGATCAATTGGGGTTATTTTATTTCTTAGATCTTCTGTAGCTACAGAATGTAAAATATTTTTTATTTCTTTAGTGGATAAGTAAGACATATTAAATGGTGTATCATACAAGATTTCTTTGGTTTTCTTTGGTGGGTTTTTTATAAAAGTGTCCTTTCCCTTTTTTGGCAGACAAATATTTTGTTTTGATTTATGATATTCCACATATAGCTCTTTTATTCCTGAAGTACTTTCTGTAAATGAATAACTGCTAGAGTTTGTAATATTTCCATGGTTTTGAGTTGCTCCCTTGAATTGTATTTTTAATAGTCCCAGTTTAATTAACAGTGTCATTGTATTTTTACTTAAAAGAGTTTCATTCCGCTTCCCAGATAATATATAAAAAATATGATTTCCTATACATCTTCCATGGCATGAAATGTTTACTAAAACTTCCCTTTCTGGAATAATTGGATTTCCTGGCTGTATAGTAAATAATGCAATTTCTGTCCTTTTTGTTTCTTTTATAATATACTTCTTTGGAATTATCTGATATACATCTGAGCTCATTATATTCACATCAGCCCCACTGTCTAATTTACATAATACGTCCACTGGACCAATATTTAATAAGACTGACCATATGTCATTATTGCTTATTGTACTTTTTGATACTTCTTCTAATGTACTTCCTTCTTTCTTTATCTTGCTGTAAAGTATGCAATCTTTTGTCTCCTTATATGGGACTTGACTTATTTTATTGTTCTTATTTTTTCTGGTAATTCGGGTGGGTTTGTCCTCCTTTGCATCTTTTTGATTATTTCTACTTTCTCTTTTAATAAACACCATTTGACAAATCTAAAAAATTATTTCTTTGACATTCCTTATATATTTTTAATTTTCAAATTCAAAATGTCTAAGCTTAAATTAATAGACTATAGACAGAAATCAGTTCAGAATTTTTATAGATCTTCCTATAGTAATATGGTTAATTAAAGCCAATTTGCATATTTTATACTTGTATGTATAAAAATTACACAGTGATACGTCGACTATGCATTATTAAAATAAAAATAGAAGAACTCTATGACTAATCCATTATAAATCACAAGTACGATTTATTAGTAAATTCTATAATAAATTATGACTAAACAATAGAAATTTCACGTAATAATTCATTTTATTAATTAACTTCCACAGCTTAAGCAGTCTCCATCAAGGGAGCATGTGGCAGGAGCTGGTGCAGATTCCTTCTGTAAGTATTCCTGTGCCTGCTGTTTGTCTACGGTGAACTTAATTGCGGCCTGGGATGGTTTGGTTCTCAAATAATAAGTTCCTGTTTTAAGTCCCTTTTTCCATCCGTAGAAGTGCATGCTTGTTAGTTGGGCAAAGGTTGGTGTAGAAATGTGAATATTCATGGACTGACTTTGGTCAACATACGCACCTCTGTCTGCTGCCTGATCAATTACAGCTTTCTGCTTTATTTCCCAAACAGTTTTGTACAACTGTTTGATACTATCCGGTATGCTGGGAATGTTTTGAATTGATCCTTCATGTTCAATAATAATGTTCTTCATCTCTGGTCCCCACAGGCCTAAATCTGCTAGATTCTTTACCAAGTGAGAATTCACAATTTGGAATTCTCCTGAGAGTGTTCTTCTAGTGTATATATTACTGGTGAATCCTTCAAAGCACTCATTAAATCCAAGAATTTGGGAGGTTGAGGCAGTTGGCATGAGAGCCACTAGCAAACTATTTCTTACACCGTGGGCAGCGATCTTCTTTTTAAGGCCGGCCCAGTCCCATCGGTTAGAAGGCTGGACACCCCACATATCATACTGCAGTATTCCCTTGCTCACAGGACTGCCTGCGTATGACTCGTATGGGCCGTACTTCTGTGCTAGTTCATTTGATGCCTCAAGCGCACCAAAGTAAATGGTTTCAAATATTGCTTTGTTTAACTCTGCTGCTTCCTTGCTCTCAAATGGATACCCCAGGAGAATGTACACATCTGCTAGACCCTGTACACCCATTCCTATAGGGCGGTGCTTCATATTAGAATTCTTAGCTTGTTCTAATGGGTATTTGTTTACATCAATGATTTTGTTCAGGTTTTTAGCTACTATTTTTGCGACCTCCTTTAGCTTATTGAAGTTAAACTCATTGTTTTCAATGTATGTTGGAAGTGCAAGTGATGCCAGGTTACACACTGCAATTTCATTTGGGTCTGTGTACTCAACAATCTCAGCACACAAGTTACTTCCCTTGATCACTCCAAGATTCTTCTGGTTGCTCTTTCTGTTACAGCTGTCTTTATAGAGAATGTACGGTACGCCTGTTTCAATCTCTGCCTCAAGAATTGCCTTCCACAGCTTTCTTGCTGGAACCACCTTCTTCTCAACTCTCTCCTCTTTTTCGTACTGTACATACAGTTCTTCAAATTCATCTCCGTACTTCTCATGCAGGCCTTTTGCCATATTAGGACAAAATAGCGCCCAGTCGCCGTCTTCTTCAACTCTCTTCATAAATAAGTCAGGTACCCATAGTCCTAAGAACAAATTTCTTGCCCTCATTTCTTCCTTACCCGTATTCTTCCTCAAATCTAAAAAGTCAAATATGTCTCTGTGCCATGGCTCAATATACACAACAATTGATCCAGGCCTCTTATTACCTCCCTGGTCAACATACTTTGATGTGGCATCAAACACCCTCAGCATAGGAATTATCCCATTCGAATGACCAAAGGTTCCCTTAATGTATGAGCCAGTGCCCCTAATGTTGTGGATGTTCACACCAATCCCTCCTGCATGCTTTGATATCACTGCGCACTGCTTAAGCGTATTGTATATTCCATCAATTGAGTCACTCTGCATGGCCAATAAAAAGCAGCTGGACAGCTGTGGTGAAATGGTTCCACTGTTGAAAAGAGTAGGCGTAGCATGTATAAAGTGCTTGGTAGACATAAGCTCATAGGTTTGTATAACAGATTCAATGTCATTCTCATGGATTCCCACACTCACTCTCATCCATAAATACTGCGGCCTTTCTATAATTACATTGTTTGACTTTAGAAGGTACGAGCGCTTCAGTGTCTTAATTCCAAAGTAAGAAAATTCAAAGTCTCTCTCGTCTTTAATGGCGCTGTCCAATCTCTCTCGGTTCTTCAGAATTATATCAAGTATCTTCTCTGAAATTATCTCTGTTTTAAGATCTGTTCCATATATGATTGAATTAGACAACTTCATCATTGCCTCAGAAAATTTACTTGGTGTGCTCTTCTGAAGAAATGATGCTTCTATCCGCCCTGCTAGTAAAGAGTAATGAGGATGGCTTGTTGTCATATCTGCAGCTGTCTCTGCCGCAAGTACTCCCAATTCCTCTGTGGTCATATCATCACACACACCCATGGTTATTTTCTCTGCCAGCTCATTCACTTTAATAAATGTAGAATCAAGCCCACTTGCCATTCCTTTTAAATATTCTAGGAGTATATCCTGGCTGTATTCCACTCTATTCCCTTTTTTCAAGATAGTTCTCTCTCTTGACATTCTGACTAGGGATAAAAATAATTTCACTTTCTTAAGCTTATTTATGATACACGAGTGGTACGAGACAAGAGAAGAGGCCAAAATTATTATCTATCCGATATCAGAAGATGTAAAAACGGTTGTAAGGACAGGGGAAATTCTTTCTATAAACATGCTATCTAGTACTTATACCATAAGAATAATCCATGAATATACTGTAGAGGGATACAGACGGGCCAATGACCAATTGGAAATAACACTAAAGAAGCCGTTCAGTAAAAAATGGACTAAATTAGACTCTGTGCCTGTTATGTCATTTGAAAAACAGAAAGAGATAAAAACAGACAAAGAAACTCTATCGAATGATCCTGTGATGAATATGTTTATGGAGGTGTACGCGAATGCATCAGATGACATAAAAAGGGAAATGAACAAGTCATTCTATGAATCATCTGGCACAGAGCTAAGAACGCATCGTAAGACAGATAAAGATGAGTAAAAAACAGTTAAACCAGTAAAAATTAGTAAAATTAGTAAAATAACAATTTCATTTACATATTTTTAATCCGCTTATCTATGGATTTATTCGGTATTAAGTATGCTCGGTGATATTCTGTCATTAATTACTTTTATGAGAGTGGATCAATTGCTGCTATAACAATATCTGTGTTTACTCTGGATATAATTGAAAAATGCGGCTCAGTGACTGTTTTAAGCAGACCATTCGCTTGCCTTGGTATTAGAAATACTATTCTTTTTATCATTGTAAGAAGACGGGGCGTAACTGTAACTCTCTCTGTCGGGGGCTTTGGTGAGTCTTTTATTATGGTGACAATGTCATTTGAGTCAATTGTCGGTGATTCTGGAAATATTGAAGCAATATGGCCATCATTTCCTATTCCTAAGAACGCTAAGTCCACCTTTGCATTCTGAAGTAATTCTTTGTATTCCTTTACCATTTCTTCTTCAGGCAGGGATGTGTTGTAAGCATGGACAGACCCCACGCCCTGTAAGAACCCTTCTGCTGTTTTAAAATTACTCTGCTCATCGGTTAGGGGGACAAGTCTTTCATCTGCAAAAAAAACAGTCCACTCTTTCTTATCCAGCTGGCTAATTGTAGCGGACTCAAGTATTCTTAGGATTGACCCGCCGGATATCATTAGTGTAAGTGGTTTCTCTGTGTACTTTACTAATTCTTCATACGCTACTAATTCCAGACTGGATACGCATAACTTTGTTTTCATAAATACAAGGAAGAGACAGATATTTTTTTAATGTCCAGTCCGGATCCAGAACAGACGTATTTAGATATTTCAGTAGACCTAGTGCCAAATGAGCCGGCAGAAATAGAACAGCCATGTGTGGCCTGTGGCAATGCAGGATTGCTCAGACTGCTAATAGTACCAGACATGTTCTTCCCAGATTCTCTTATTAGCACATTTACATGTAGAGTGTGCCCCTTTAGAAATAAACAAATGGACGAGATGAATCAGTCTAATAAAGGGGTTAGAATATCCTGTTACTTAGACAAGCCAGAGGACTTGAAGAGATACTTAATTATACCGTCTAAAGCGAAAGTTTCCTTTGAGTCTGGGTTAGATGGGGTGACATATACCCACCAGGAAGACAGTGTTTCAACAGTTGAATCTCTTATTAGAAGCATTTTTGAAAAGCTTCTGTCAATATCAACGCTACCAGAGAGCAGACTAACAAAAGAAGAACTCTTGGAATTAGAAGAGTACTCTGGAGTAGCCACATTCTTACAGGACTCAATGGATAATTTAAACATGACACTGTCAATTGATGATCCAAAAGGAGTGGCAAGAGTCATGCCAATTGGTGCTAACATGCAAAGAAGTACAAAGAGCGTTCCACTGGACTATTATAGAGATGGAATTGTTGAAATAGAGGAGTATGATTTAGAGCCAGAAAACTCTGGAGAAAATAAAACTGCAGAAGACTTAGTTGAAGAAACATCACACGAGAGTACCAGCCCAGAATAAATTTAGATTAGGATTATTTCAGGATATACCGCCTACCCTACACCAGATATTCTAAATATTAAGTAATTATTAATGAATATATCCAGGAAAACCCAAAGAAAATAAGAATAAATTAAATTACAGAAATAATTTACAAATAGCAGTTTGTACAGCTGTTAAAATAACTCTCCATTTTTAATATTTATGCGTAGAGAGAATATTTTTCACTTTTATTCCAGATGGATAAAGAAACTGCAAGTACCCAAAAAATTGAAGAGGGCGGTGTGATAATCGAAGGAGGGGCATTTTACAACCCAGCCCAGAAATTCAACAGAACCCTTACGATAAAGGTCATAAATAATTTCATTAGGGCAACTTCTAAAGAAGGGGTGTCTCTTCTTGAGTGTATGTCAGCCACTGGGCTTAGAGGCATACGGTATGCAAAAGAACTAGAGGGGTCTAATAAAATAGTAATGAATGATATATCCTCAGCAGCATGTGAGAGTATAATAAATAACTGTGCCAAGAATGGAATAGGTGCAGGAATAAACCAGGAAATCGCAACAGGCACCACAACAGTAGAAATAAGAAACGAAGACTGTAGATCACTTATGCTAAACAGAAAGAGAGAGTTTGATGTAATTGATATTGATCCATTTGGCACGTGCTCTCCGTATATTGAAACTGCATTAGAGGGGCTTAAAGAAGGAGGACTTCTTTGTGTTACATCAACGGACACAAAGGTGCTCTGTGATAAGCCGCCTGAGTCGTGCTATAAGTACTATGGCTCTGTTTCTATGAACAATTCGTATTCGCATGAAATAGCAGTGCGAATAGTGCTGTCATACATTTCCAGAGTAGCTGCTAAGTCTGGTAAGTTTATTGAGCCGCTAGTTAGTCTTTCAATGGACTTTTTCATTCGGGTATTCATTCGGGTCAGTAGCAGTAAGCAGCAGTCTAACTATTCCCTCTTAAAAAATAAGAACTATTTCATGTGCACTTGCTTAAATAGAGAAGTACTTCCAATTCTAAAGAAAGAGGAGAATAAAGACGTGTTTAGGCACCAGAAATTGCCTGTATGCACTGTATGCAGACTCTGTAAGAGACAATTTGGTATATATGGACCATTCTGGGATGGGCCGCTGCATAATAAAGACTTTTTAGTCGGAGTTATAGATTCTATAGATGAGTCAGACATACAGAGCAAGACTGGTGGGGTTAAAGAAACAGCACACACTTTGCCACAAATAAACAGAAGAATTCATGGGATGCTGTGCATGGCGCGAGATGAAATAGATGAAATGTTCTATTATTCAATTCCAACAATTGCTTCTGTTCTGTCATTCCCTGTGCCGCCCCTTCCCATGATTATTTCTTTCCTACACAGAAATAACATAACAGTTTCTTTAACGCACTGCAAGCCAAATGCAATTAAAACAAGCGGCGAGATAGAGTATGTATACTTAGCAGTTATATTATACTATGAAAGAATAAAGCCAGAGATATATGCTGTATATAATGACAGACTAACAGGAAAAAGACAGGACATTGACAAAAATACGCATAACTTAATGATGTATTTAGATGAGTATAAAAGAAATAAGAGCATTATTATAGACTTTACAGTAGAATCGCGCTCAGCTGACATAACATCAAGAAAGTATCTTAAATTCCAAGACAAGTCTGGTTTAGGATGGGGGCCAATGAAGAAGTAATAAAAAGCATAGATAATAATAAGTCAAAGGAAAAAGTATTTAAATGAGTTTTTTTTAGATGTACAAATGAATAAAAGGAAATATGGGGACGGCGGGCCATTAGTAAAAGAGAAGGAGGCAGTAAGCGCAGACAGGTCAGAAAGAATATATGAAATAATGACAAAGAATGCGCGAATGCTTCGAGAGCAGGAGCTACTGCTGATTACAAACAAAATACCATATGGGGAGTATTTATGCCGGTATTATGAGGTTTGGCTCAAGGACAAAATATCAAATGGTCTTTTAGAGTGTGTATGGTATGCAGAAAAGGACTTATGGATGCTTTCGTCATACATGGACTCTTTTATGGAGTTTAGAGATTTTATATCTCACTACCAGATGAGCATACGCCTAGAAACCCAGAACAAAGGGCAGCTATTGCAGACAGAGCTATTTGATAAAATTAAAGGGGAGACAGTAGACAGCTCGCCTATAATTATCATTAAAGGCATTGGTGAGCGGGTTTCCATTAGAGCTCTTATAGCAGAGATTGAAAAAAGAGCAGAGGTGAGCGAGTGGGCTATGTCTCAGTCTGGAGGCGCACCAGAGGGTTTCCAAAAGAGTATCTACATCCGAACAGAGATGGACCTTACTGGATTTAAGCAGGCGGTGCAAAGTGCACTTCCAGAAGAAGCAGTTATAACTGTGCATTATCTTCCAACCACCACTATGAGCAGGGCAGTAAAGGAGGTAGGCTGTCAGTTCATGGACAAATATGCAATACTTGAAACAGAAAGACAAGCAAAGAACATTCTTCAAAAAATGTCCGAGTTATTCGGAGTACCCGATGTGTATAAAACGGTCTCTGCAATGGAAGGCAAAGTAAATCCAGAGGAGATAGGAGACCTTTACATACTAGCACTTAGAAAAGTGTTTAATTTTTGTTACTACTGTGGAATAAAGTATGATAATCCGTATGAAATGGCATTTAAGTGCGGCCTATTCCACCTAAGAAATAATAGTGTGTTAGACGAGTCTAGTCCAGAAGACTTCCAAAAACAAATCAGCCACTTTGAAATAGATCGCATGAATTACTTACAGAATATACCAAAAACAATTGATGTGCATACTTTTTGCACTGATGCAAAAGAGAAGGGAGAGATTGAGTGTAGGTTCTGTGAGAAGAAATTTGAGTCCATCGAATTTTTTGAAAAGCATCTGGAAAGAAAAAAGCACAAAGCGTATGAAATGAGCATTAAGCTACACAATGACTTCCTCCCGTGCATTAATGTTCTAAATTACCAGCTTATTAATGAAATTGAAAAAAGGCACTTGAAAATACCATTTGAGGTCTATGAATATATGTGTGCAAATAATAATGCAGCAACAGAGGAGATCGATTACACACATCTGGACAAAAAGTATCCAGTACTATATGCGAATAAGCCAATTTCTATTGAGGAGTTCGGAGAGCACGAGTTATAAATAAGAATTATTAATCCAGAATAAATCTATGCATTATTTGTATTTATCTTTTTATATAACCCGAATAGTATAATTAATTTAGTATACACAGAAAATACAAAAAGTATTATTTCTGGCTATTTCATAGTATACATAACATAGATGTAAAGGATTACTCATAAATTTTAAGATATGTGGTGTTTTGTCTGTTTCGGGTTATAATAATTTGATAAATAGCCCAACCGCAAATATTTACACTATTTAAATACATTGTATAGCTATAAATCATCACTCTAGATGTATTTTATATATAGACTGTGTAATAGACAACTATAGGGGATAAAAATAGATAATAATTAAATATTTTTATTAAGAGATAGCAGAGTATCTATAATACTAATTTGTTTTATCTGGGTATGTATTTTATCGTATTTGTATGTGTTTTATTTATAGGAATATCCGGTATAGAATATCTTAAATACTTTAGTGCTTTATATAGCAGCTTACCTAGAGTAGTCATAGTAGATAGTTGTTTTTATATTTTAGTTTAGTCACTGTCATTTTCCGCGTATGCTTTGGCGTTATCTTCTATTATAGTAAGTTTTAACATATCTACTTTATCTCTCTGCAGCAATAATTCTTCTGAAGAGCTTTCTTCTTCAGAACTAAATTCAAAGAAATCGCTATCTTCTTCATTTGTTATGCTTTCAAGATTGCATATATTACTTATTGTGCTGATAATTTTATTTCTTATGCAAATGTTAACATACTCCTGGGTAATTAGTTTTATATGCAATTTTATTATTTCCATATAACTACCAGGAAACAAATTAGAGCCAAACGCGGGATCAACTATAGGAGCATTCATATGTAGCATTCCCAGCCGAATCTCCATATTCTTTATATCTGAATTGAATGTTAGAAGTAGCTTAATTAGTGACTCGAAGTAGTTATTATACGCAATTTCATCGGATAATTTCGGGATTTCTGCGCTTTCTGGGACAGATTTATTTAATTGGGGGGTTTCTGCTTTCTCCAGCTGGCTATATTGCTTAGAAGTCGTTGCACAAATACTTAATGAACTATTCACACTATCCAACGGAATATTTGTCGAGTTGCTTATATAACTTGCTAGCTTATCTGCTACCTTTAATACTTTTCTTTGGAATATATCAGCGTCCATGTTGCTATTTGGTTGAAACAGTTTGTTTTCCTTAAACATATCCCAGGAAATATCACTTTTATTTTTGTATACATCAAATATGTACAATGCACTTAGCATCGTTTCCATAGAATTATACATTTTTTCTTTGTTGTTTGTGCTATTTGATGGATTGCTCTGCTCCATTATATAACTATCCTCTCTCATAGCAAATATCATATCTATCAGTACATGTATTGTGTTATTAAGTTGAGTTTTTTTGTTATTAACTTCTTCCTTTAATGTGGTAACATTCACACTCCCTACAGAAAATGGAGCTTTTACTGATGACTGCACAGGAGATCCAAGATTTTCATCTTTTTCATACTGATTTATAATCTGTATTAATTTATTATAGCAATTTATATAATTCTTTGTGTTATGCACTGAATACCTGTTGAATATTAGCAATTCTATATCATCCCCTATTGAATACACCAATTCAGAATCTTCTGCTAATATTCTTGTTTCAAGTAGCTTTTTTAATGCATTTGCGGTGTTTATATTATTTATGTTTTCATGTTTTTTTATAGTTTTTTCTATTTCTTGTATTTTATTATTTATATTTTCTGTGTTAGTGCTCAAATTCAAGATTTTTGTGCCATTTAAATCCTTTAAAAATTGATTTTCTAGATTTTCCTTCACCTCTTTTACTATACTTTTTGGCATCTCATCCTTTAGAATTATACCATTAAACATATTTATAATGCGTTTAATACATTTATGCTTTGATTCAATCTCAGTAATCTCATTTAGTGCTTCATCAATATACGTTTGTATTTTTGTACTTGTTGATATATCATACGGCATAGGCTCCTTGGATATTAATTCGTATATTGAAAGTACATGCCTTTCAAATTTTATGTTTATATTGGATATGGCATATTTGTATTTCGTGTATATTTTATCAATGTTATATAGAAATTTTTGGATATCTGGTATGTTATTCACTATAGCATAATAATTAAGTTTTTCATACGGCAATAAAGTCATTTCAATTAAACTTTCATATTGTTTTAAATCCTCCCATTCATTAATTATTTTTAGTAATGATTTATGCTTTACAATAAAACTCTTAATCTGTATCAGTGATATAAAAATATGATTTAACAAATATTCAAATTTAAGATGTCTTATGTGAAATAGACTTTTTGGTGTCAAAATGTGTTCAAAGTTATCTAAGGTCGTATCTAATATTGTTTTTGAATTTTGTTCAAAAATCTTTGCGTTGTATTGGTTCTTTATTTCATTATACGCCTCTTTTATTTCATTTAAATTATTTTTTGTGTATACTGAATACGTATATATGGTAGATTCTATATTTCTGTGCTCTTGTAGTATTACACCTTTAAATATTGTATTTGCCGTTAGAATTGCATTTCTTATTTGGTACAATGGTGGATTTGTTCCATCTTTTTTATCCTGTATGTATAATTTGTTGAATTCAATTCTGTTCCTTTTGTTTTTAATCTCATGCTTTTTTTTTACCAAGCTCTGCTTTATTTCTCTTAGTGTGAATTTTTTGTCAATTAATAATTCTATTCTAGCCAGATCCTTTAGTATAATCCCCTGCCTAATTATAAAATAATCAAAGAATGAAGGCTTTTTTGTTGGAAATATGTCTAACTGTATAAAGGAACTGTATTTACATTCATTCTCATTATAGTGATTTAGGTTATTTATCTGCAATAGATCCATATCCAGTGAGTAATCAATATATGACTCTGTTAGAACATTTTGTATTGCTGTGTTATAACATATGACTTCTCTTGTTGCTGTAGTATCTAACCAAGAGTTAGAACGTATTAAATCCACATTAGATGGATTTGTATTCTGTTGTATATTTTTGGTTGATACACTCATAATTATTGAGATTATCCATGTAACAATCTTATCTATCCTCATTTATAAAAGAAAATAAAACTTAAAGATATTTATATTCTATTTTTGATATTTAATATTGATTAAATAATAGACTTACTTAGAAATATTCAATTGCCATGAAATATTCATCTTCTTATTAGGGTATACTTATGCTGGTATTAAATCAGAATTTTATTATTTTTTAGTGTATGTTGTGTATTATAATTACTTCTTATGAAATAGTTGGAATATAAACATTTGTATTTATGTACTTTAAATGCTCATATAAAGAGCTTTATTATTTGATTTATGCTGTCATAATATGTTAAGCATTTCTTATGTTAATTCTAATTAGTGTTTCCATGCTTCAACATAAATTATTTAAATATAATTTACTAGTAGTATTGTATTAACTATACTGTCTTATTATGCATTTTATTGTATAAATAATAAATTGTATAATAATTTAAATATTCAAGTGCAATAATGAGTAATCCTATAATAATAGCCTGAAAAGAGAAGAATGTGGTAATAAATATTAAACCCGGTAATAACGAGGACAAACACTACACAGAAAAAGAATAGACGCAGAAAGATGAGAATGCAAAAAGCACTAGTAATGATGAGAAGGTAGGAAAATACCAATGCTGTTAAACAGAATACAAAGAATACGATGTTAAAGAGGTAAAAAGCACTAAAAACAATGAAGAGATAGAAAGTGGCAAAAATGATGAAAATATGCAACGCATTAAAGATGTTAAGTCTGATGATTTTTCGGCGTGTGTTTGTGTACTTTCTGCGCAGAAATAGTATTTACTCAGCAATCAGAAAGGGTTCTGGTACAAATACGTGATATTTTGGAATTATACGATGAAAAAGTAATATTACAACAGCAAAGAGATTGAAAATTCTAACCGCTGGAATAAACATGTCAAAGAATTTAAATTTATCGGCTCTTTATGATAGATAGAGTAAAAGAAATAGCGGACTGTGTGAAAAAAGAAGAAGAGTCTGAAAAGTAAATCTATAGGATTGTATAGAATATGAATTAAAGCGATGTTTGAAAATTATGCGAATGCAAAAGCATTTACTGTTTCTACAGAACATAGTGTTGGAGGCGACTGGAGTATCTGGTTAGGATTATTATTTACTGCCACACATATTAAAGAGTTCAACCTTAACAAACTTCAAAGGGAAATATTAATTTCAGAAAAAAATACCTAGTAGGTTGGAGAAAAATCAATTGGAAGGAAAGCGAGTACTCAATACATAATCAATTACTCGGATACAGTGTTGACCAGAATTTTATTGAAAGCCTAAAAAAGTCTAAGTGTTAGAATTCTCTTAAATACAAAACACATAAAATCACTCAAAAATAAATATTTCTGAATTATTTATATTTCAGATTATTTGCAATAATTAAATACTTCTAAGAATAAAAAAATGTAAATTATTTATTTATTCTGTGTACACTTCTATAATAATAATGCAAATACAAAAAACAAAATATATTTCGGGCTATATCGGGATATACTGCTAATAATTAATTATACATATGTAAGCTAGTAAGATATATTTAATTTTCCATTGGTTCTTCGGGTTATATAAGCTTAAACATTTGAATATTATGTATTCTATTGATTTTGTATTAATAAGTGAGTGTCTTTCACTAATATTATAATAATAAATTATAATATGGCATAAACCAACAAATATATTTATATAACTCGAAGTGACCCAATGATTATAAATGGTTTATTACACATTTAAATAGAGTAATACTATAACAGCACTATTAATATATAGTTTATGTAGATATTTAATTATTTATGGTGTGAAATATATTTATACCACAAAAATAAAAAATATTTTAATTCTCATAGGATATGGTAAATATAGATAATAGAAGGAATCCCAGAAACACAGATAGTAAAACAAAGAAAAAACCAGCAAGGGAGCTCACAGAAGGCATTTTAAAAGAAACAAATATTAGAGATCCAGTGTCTTTATACAAATTATTTGTTACAGATAAGGTCTTATCACATATTGTAGAAGCAACAAATATGTATGCACAGTGTTGTAGCATGCATAATTCGTCTGTAGAGCATTTTATGTGCAATGACAATTGGGATTCTTTAACAGTGGAAGAACTGCGTATATTTTTATTTTATCACCAGATAAAGGACATATTATTATATAACAACATTAAAGACATGTGGTGCACAGAGAATATTATAATTAAAGGCCTGACTAAAAAAATAACAAAAACCAGATATTATTCCATACTTAATCACTTATACTTTAATACTGTAAAGGAAAGCATCGGTTCAGACACTGATCCTGCTATAAAAATAACTAAAGTTATACACATGATTACTCGAAATTTTAAAAGAGCAGTTAAAGTAGGACATGTTATTTCTATAGATGAGAGCGTACTAACAAAAGATGGCAAAATTATTATAGACCACTCAACAGATGGAAAGTGCATACCGCACAGAGTGGACGTATTTAAAATGTGCTCAAAGGATGGATATACATTTGACTGGGGGAGTTTTAGTTAGTGCACAGAGCGCATGTATTGACATAGACAAAATTAATCATGTAATAAACAAACTACTCTCTGGTTTGCTGTATAAAAAAAAGAGAGTATACACTGGTAGTAGAATAACAAATTTTATATTAGCAAATACTCTTCTGGCACAGTCTACATATTTATGTGGTAAGGTAGTAGCAAATGCGGAGTATTTACCAACAGACAGACAGTATTTACAGAAAAAGGGTGATTATGTTACACTGTCAAATTTAACAGGGATAAAACTATTTAAATGGACAAACAACTATACGAGGTTTATGCTGAGTACATTCAAAGAACACAGGGGCCGAGTAGTAAATATTTATAACAACAGCAATAATATTGATGTGGGTGAAGACTATGACAAGTCGACTCAGGGCATTTCCTTGACAGACCATATAGAGACATTTTACAACAGTACGCATAAAATTAGCAAGTGGTACAGGACAGTTATACTGCATCTGATGTGTAACACAGCCATTTCCAATGCTTGGTATATTTATAGAACATTTACCACGGGGAGTATGACGCTGCTTGAGTTTAAAATATGTCTTGTAGAAGATGCACTTGGTATAGAAATGCAGTTAGACATTGATTTTACTAAAGATCATATAAATATGTGGGAAAAGTACTTTAGTACCTGGCTAGCAGATGAGTAAAACTAGCACATGAGAGTGCAGATGTATAATAATCTAGAGAAAGCATTGGTCAATGATATCTCAGAAACAAATGCATATTAATATATCCTTTTATTTACAGAAATATACTCCAAAAAGCTTTAAATCCATTATAGCTATTTTAGGGCTACATAGAATCTACTAGTGACGTATAAATAAGTAAGCAATGAATTTCAAGCAAATATATAATATTCTGTTGGAGTTTCCTAATTAGGAATGTAATTTACCCAATGCGTATAAATTGTAAATGTACTTTTTATAGGTATTATACAAATTACAAATACTAAAAACATGTACATAGGAAAATACAGTTTGTATAGGCTTGAAAGGCAGTTTAGGTATACTTATCTGCTTATTAGAAATTTGTTTGTATACAGAATACATAAGAAATCAGTGGTATCAACGCTTTTAGACATATTTTATAATATTCTAGTGGCAATTAGTATACTTACAGCCATGGAGTCTCTTATATTTTTCTTCTTTGGATCTTTGCCCATCTACTCATTTTCAGAGGTGTATTACAGAATGCGGCCAAACGCATTCCATGCATTTGATAAGAGTGTTAAACAAACCTTGTTTTTTACAACTGTCTTATTCTGCGTATTATTTGAGATTTTTGTGCAGTTTTCTGTCTTTTACAGGCTGGTGCTAGGATACTTTGCTGCTGTTTCTGATGGATCGGTTTTAAATTACATTGGAGGCGCGTTATTTTATTCCATATTAATAGGATCCAGTTTTTTATTACATGACATAATTATGTCTTATATGGCAGACGCACTAGATTTAATAAAAATCAAAACACTCACAGGAAAGATAGTTATTGGGTGCATTATTACTGGTTTAGTACTCCTTATGGACAGAGAGTGTAGGCTCGTCTATAAAACAATGCAAAAACGAAAAAAAAGAACTTTCTCTCTCCTGTTCTATATGGTGACACTTATTATATGCATTATTATGATGCTTATTTGGTTCGGCATCGACTTGGGAATTCCTATGTTCAGTTATATGCTAAGAAATATTAAAAGCGAAGTAAAAAACGTTCTTAGCTAGAGATTCTAAACATTTCCATATTTATAATTTTAACGGCCGTTAATGCTTATTTACACACACATATGAAAATATTCTAAGGGATATAAACCCATTTTAAATAAATGCATTACACTATAAAAGTATATATAATCCAAAATATTAAAAAATTTATTATTCAGTGGGGATGATAGAGAAGAGTTATTTTATTAAACACTAAGAAAGCGAACTAAAATCATATAGAAGTTCATAAAAACAGGCAGTATTAACAGAAATACTATATAGTCAACTGATATTTCGTATGATTTAGAAATCTATAGAGTATACATATAAATAGGAATATTGCAGGGCATGAGTACATATAGCAGAAAATATAAAGCGGTGTAAGCGACTTATTATATTATTTTAAATGTGTAGATAGTGTTGGTTTTGGATAGTGAGATCCAGAATGTCAAATAAAATGTTGATGTTTGGAGTGTCAAAATATGTGAGTGACAGCTTTTGTGATTGGAAGTCGTCTATATAAGGACGACATGGATTCAATGAAAAACAGGTTTTCGTATGTCTAAGTCTTTAAGGAAAAAACAGCTGATAGAATATCGTATATTACTGATTTATTAGTGATTCTGTATTTATGGCTATAGTGATATAGAGAGTGAGGTAATTTTATCCGGTTCACTAGAAAGAATTACTTTTTTATTTGCATGGGATTTCACTTCCATTATTGGGAATAGGTCTTCTTTAGCAAATACTTGAATTTCATTTTTCTCGCTGGGTGAACTATTTCTGTGCACATGAACTAAAGCACTAATTACATTGTCATCTATCAATTCCATTCTATATATACTTCCTGTTTCTGTGAGTATAAATAAAGTATCAGACCGGTTTATTAGGGATAGAGAAGTCTTTTCTATGCCAATGACTCCAGAGGGAAGAGAAAATGATAGAACTACATGCATCCTTGTGTTTTCTTTTCTCTTAAGCAAAATAATCGACCCACTGGTTTCATGTGCATATCCTATAACAAAGTACTTGTCATTAAGCATTCGAACTACTTTGTGTCTACTTTTTACTCTGTCCACATACACCAGTGGAGATTTTTCTAACCGGACAGTGCCTCTGTCTAAAATAATTCTGTGCAGTATGATATGGAACAAAACATATTCTACCAGATATCCATCGCGTACTTCATACCTTCCCGCGCCATTACTGTATGTATGCAAAGTATTCTTACCAACTGGTGTAAGCCTAAACTTGTGCATTCTGAGCAGTATAACTCCAACAGTAGTGCAGCAGCATAAAATACCTTTGTGTACAGAAATTCCAGTGATAGAAGATTCGATTGGTGCACTTTCTATCTGTGATATTGCATTTTTCTTTATCTTCAGTGTAAGTATTTCGGACCTGTCTTCTTTATTTATTGCTAAGTATAGTCTATTTCCTATTCCTATGCAGTGTGTTGAGTAGACTTTATTATACGATACACTGTGGATGCATCCGTTGCTGTTGTATAGAGAGACTTTAATAGAGGATTCATTGGAAAGCACAGTTTCTTTAACTAGTGCGGTACTTTTACTAATTATCACTCTATATTTCTTTATATTAATAGCATCAACTATGTCATTGTCTTTAATACAGCCATTTCTAACTACACTCTTTTTACTGTATACTGGACAGTTTACTAGCTTGTAAATAGCAATATAATGTTTATCTAGATTCTTGTTATATCTGTATACTTGGTACTCATTACTGTCTGTGTCAATGCAGCTAATCCCATGTTTATTTCTACTGTCAATTAGCTGAGCATTAACTGTACTGCGGCATGTATCTAACAAAATACTGTTACTATCTGTGATGATCAAAATTTTATCTTCTAAATATGAAATGCCTTTAATAACAGCTGTGCCGATTCGTATATTCTGGGTCTTTGTGCTGTCATTATGAATATACCATAAACTTCCATTGTACTTATGCAATAAATACTCTTCAGCACTAATGGGCACAACTGTGCTCCCTGCTATTGGAATTGAGTGCTGTTTAGTCACCTCCAAGTTGTTATTTATGTGAATTACAGTTGACTCATTTTCATCACCAATTACAACTGTTTCTTTATAAATTCGCAAAGAGATTGGATTATATTCACCAATGCATTGGGACATTCCGCTCTCTGCATTGGCTAGATAAATTCCTTTTGTGGTAGAACATACTAACAGATTATTATGCATGTCTGCAAAGAAAACTTCTCCCAGGCATGCCTGCGTGTGGTTTTTATTGGTTTCAGATGATATGCCACTATCCCCACAGAACAGACATACGCCACTTGTTTTATTTTCTTTATACGCAGAAAGTACTCCAGACTTATTTAAGTAGTAAATAGATGCATTACTAACTGAGCACATAATAATATCCTGTGAAAAAACAACAGATTCATTTCTAAATCTTTTATCTATTATGTTAAGTCTATCTATATACCTCACAACAGAGTATACTCCATTACTTAAGATCTGAACAGGCTTCTCCTCTATTTCCAGCTTATTAGTATATTCTTTGTATTTCTGCGTAAGTTCTTCTAGCCTAATGCTTTTACTGCGCTGTGTCAGTAGCTGTATGCGCCCACATCCCCCACTGCTTTGTATTTTCATGCCAGTCAATTTATATCCCTTTTTCAGTGCAGTCACGCCTGTATTTGTTTTAACTATATGTGAAATATTATTCTTAATATCCACTACACATATATCTCCAATTTTATTATACAAATACAAATGTTCTCTTATGCATAATATTCCCTCAGATATAATTCCAGGCTTGATGTAATTTACAACTAAAAACTGGTCTATATCTATATAGCACAGTTCATTAGTTAGTAGACTCAGCACGCATACATTATTCAGAATTATACCTGTCCGAACCACCTGTGCATTAAAACACATACTATGCGTGATAGAACTTGAATTGTGCAAAGAAATCTTATCTGGCTCTATTAAAAGCATGCTCTTGTTCAAAAGACTGTATATCATATGCACACTACTTGGCACTGAAAACTGCGCCACTTCCTCCAACCCGTTTCTTACGCTGATTGTTCTAATAACATTCTGGTTGTGTGAGCTAAGAAGCAGCACAAATTCATTAGAGTGTGTATAGCACAGATCCATACAAAGTATCTTATGACCATACGGAACATACCTAAAGGTTTCTTCACTCTGCACATCATAAACTATTACTTCATTCTCAGACAGGATAAATATTTTATTATCCCTAAAATACCCATTTTTTACTGGTATATCGCACAAATCAAATACGGATGAACTCATCTCATATGAAGACCCTGTGCCAGGTTTGACTTTGTAAATATCCTTCTCTGTCAATGCGTATATAACACACCCATCAGACACTGCCCATTTAATATTACAGGGCAGCTTTATTTGTCTCTGTGTTTCAACAAATTCTATCACATTTTCATGCACAAAATATAAAGAATTATTCTGCACACCACAGCATGTAAGCATCTGAGAGACATTCGCCTGTTCAAGGAAGAGACCAGCCATAAATATTTAAAAAAACTTTACGGAAAAAGTTAGTTTAAATGGAAGTTTCTTGCATTGTAGAAAAAGTCAGAGAAGTAGACCAACCAGAAGATTCCCTTCTATCCATTAGGTACTCCAACCATATAAACGCAATATATTCAATATCACACCATGACTCGTCTGTGCCAGAGGTGGAAATAGAGTCATTAGAAAATCTGGCAAGTGTTGAAACCGCATTAGAGAAGATTCTTTCCTGTGTAATAAGACCGCACGAAAGATTTTCGTATAAATTTCACATTCATATTTTATCAATATCTGGCAGTATATTTAACATATACACGGATTTAGTCGCAGGTCTAACTGTTTTAATGGTATCTCTGGGAATTGAGCTGACAGACACTCTTATATCGTATACGAAAGAATATTCTGAAGGCTTTATCTGGGTGTGCAAGAAATATTTTACAAATGAAGTGGCATGCATAAAACTGTCAGAGGCCGCAGTAGCAGATAGTTTAGAAAGCGCAACTGAGCACATTCCAGTGGATGAGTTAGAAGAGCTTAAATATTTATGCGGGTCTGTGGGTGTTTAATAATAGTTTTATAACAGGCAGGGCACAGAAATATAAACATATCTTGGTTTGTTTTCATTCCTTTTTTAATTTAATGGGACAGGAAAAGCAGAGCTGGCTTAGAAATGTATTTGATTCAGAGTACTTTGTATTCTGGATGGCACTAACATGTCTTTCACGGTACAAGGAGAAGGAAATACATCAATACTTATGCTATAAAATATACCAGACTAAAAGAGAAGAGGCAGTGTTGTACTATCCGCAGTTGTTCCATCTAATGCTGGCTGAGGATGGGCAGTTATGGAATAGGCCAATATTCCGGCTGTTGTACAAAATATCAAGAAGCAATAGGCATTTTATGTCCGCCCTAGCAATGTATTCAGTCTCAGTATCTGATTCATACAGGATAGACCAGGAGAAGGAAAAAACAAAGTACCGGATATGTTTGGAATTTGCCAGGATTATATCGCATGTTAGTTATCCCTGTGTGAAGCCCAGGCACCACATAACAAAAGAGACGCTTTACACAAAGTATCTAAGAATGACATACGGCTCAAAGGTTGGCATGTCACCAAGTGCAGCGCATATGCTAAGCCAGCAGAAGCAGTTTTACTCCCTGCCAGAGAGTCCTACAAGAAAGAAAAAAGAGCTTGAATATTCTGTAAAGTCTGCCATTGCCTCTTTGCTATCTGGGATTGCTGCGGTGTCAGACACCGTCCAGCATAAGTATTTAGTAGACGTATCTTTGTGCAACAGAGTGTACCACAAAAAGCGGATTATATATAAAAACCAGGCAGAGAAAATAGAAGGAATAATAGCAAAGAACTCAAAAGAAAACAGTTTTATAGAGAGGCTGAATACTATTTCGACCTCACTTATTTCAATTCCACGGCACATGCGAGAGCAGGCATTTATTACAGAAATAAACCTGCTAAACCTATACCTGCCAGATAAAATATGTCTTTCTATGTTCTGTCCAGGGAGTTCGCACACTTCTATACTAAGCATATCAGCAGAGCTTTCTAAAACACTAGACTCAGCCACGAGAGCACCTTTTATGCTGGTGTACGAGGCTGCAAATGAGTCTTCGTGGGTGAATAGAAGTAAGCCTGCTGGCTCTTTGATGTCCTACGAGAAGTACTCTGGGGATACTAAAGACAAGAAGCAGGAAACAAAGGAAAGAGTATTTAAAACTGCAATAAAAATACTTGGTGGGCTAAAAGAGCTAGACTCTAGTTCGCATGTAGACATGGACATTCTTTCGATAAAAACAAGAGTTATAAAGAAGATATACAGCATGCACACTCCGCAGTACACCACACCTACAAATACCAAGTATGTGGATGAGTGGTCAGCAGCGGTTAATGAAGTGAAGAAGAAGTCTATCTATCGAGAGATGGACGGGTGGAGAATGAACTCACTTATTATCAAAACTGGGTCAGATATGAAACAGGAGCAACTGGCCTCCCAGATACTTGGTGTTATAGAAAGTATATGGAAGCAAGAAAAAACAGGACTGTTCCTAAACGCGTATAAAACAATGGTCACTGGAAGAGATTCTGGTATAATCGAAACAATACAAGGCGCAAAGTCGATACATCAGATTAAAAAGCATCTTAAAGAACGCGGAGCTGCCCAGAATATTATGGAGTATTTTATAGAAAACTGGAAGGACAAGATAGATGAGGCACGAGAAACGTTTTTTAAGAGTCTGGTGGCATACTCTTTAGTCTCTTACATATTGCAGATAAAGGACCGGCATAATGGAAACATTTTAATTGGAAGCAAGGGAGAACTCTTCCACATTGATTTTGGGTTTGTTCTGGGGTCGCACCCAGGATTCTATTCTGTAGAGTCTGCCCCGTTTAAGTTTTCTATTGAGTATGCAGAGGTAGCAGGAGAGGAAAGAATGAGCAGATTCAAAAGTGAGTTTCTGAAAGGATTTTTATCACTGCGAAAGAATATGGACCACATAATAATATTGGTAGAAAGTGTTGCAAAGTCCGGAGGGATTCTTTCCATCACACAGAATTCTGTGTACACTCTCCGAGAAAGGTTCCAGCCAGGCCTTACCATACAAGAGTTCTCAGAGAATGTTTCTGATATAGTGGACAAAGGAATGAAAAATGTGTTTACTGATATATACGATTCACTGCAGTACTACACTCAAGGGTATTGTAAATAGATCCATGCACGTGCGCTGAACAAAGTGGTTAATAAATTAAGCACCATTAGAGATCTATGCTATAAAAAACTTTCACTTTTTAAGAATTATAAGATTTAAAAACGGGGTTGGTAAGCTTAAGCCCCGGATTTTCTTGTTCTCTGTGGGTGTGCACATTGCCATAAACGGAATACGCACATTTCATTATATAAGTCTTTATTTGCTTTTTAGAAGAATCTTCTTACTTTTACAAATGGGAGGATTTATACTCTGCTGCCCTGGATTAATAAAGTCCAGGCTGGGCGCAGGTAGACTGATATTTAATGTCACTTTATATTTATTATTTCTGTTGAATCAGAGATATGATGGTCTGTCTATCTGATTCAGACAAGTTTCTCCATGCGGCTGCTATAACAGTTCCCTGTCCTAAGCTGCATATGTTTCTAGCATACTCAAATGGATTTATCGCATCCAGAGGAGTTTCAAAGGATGGGTCTTCATCGAAGTACTGGCCTTCTCCGTATTCACTGTCTGTTTCAATGTTATAGTCCTCTTCCTCTTCTTGGTTTTTAAGCGCCTCTCTTCTGGAAAGTGCTTTCGGGAAGACCTCAATCACGTAAATAAAGATCTTCATAATCGTAGGGACTGATATTTGTGGTGGAAGAGATCCCTCTGCCTGTGAGAACAGAATACCAGTGAACAGCAGGAGCAGTTTAAGGTCGTGCACTCTTTCAAACTTTTTGTATGTTGCCTCTAAACTGCTCATAATAAATGCAAGCTCGTTTGTCTCCTGTAGAAGACCAAGAGTTCCACCCGGCATGAGAATCACTGAGCAAAGGACTATTTCCACGGCGGATATCAAAGACCCGTTGCTTGTAAGCATTTCTTTATCAGAGAGTACAAGAGAAATTGCGGCCTTAATAAATCCGCCAAGCTTGTCGCCCATTGCCTGGGACATGTTCAAGAGGATGCTTTCAATTATCCTGCAGAGGTATGGGAAGTCGTATTCTGTAATTACATCCTGCATCATTTCATTAAGAATTCTGAATATTGGCTCTATGTACTTAATCATGTGCTCCTTTCCGTATGTAATGAAGTTATCCAGCACACTGGAAAGCTCGTTAAGGTAGATTGCCAGATCATCAATGGGCATCTTCAGTATAAGTTCTAATATTTCGTACATTCCATCCACACACTTAAGAGCGTATGAAGACACGACTAGAAGAGAGAAAATGTCTGGGAAGAACTCCTGGTAGTTAGTTCCAATTACAATGATCATATCTTTGATGGAGACCATCATAGCACGGATGCTATCTGGCGACTTATCTAAAGACTCAATAAGTGTGATCAGAGTTCTTACGTATCCATCAATAACTTCGTACCTCTCCTCTGGTGCATCGTCCTCCTCTTCCTCTGCGCCCTGCTTGAGCAGCTGGATTATTGAGTTGCAAATTGCCTCTGAAATTGCTGGTGCTATTTCAAGAGCCTCTTCTGTGCACTGCATAATCACGTCTTCAAGCGCAGTAGAGAGTGCCTCAATCTGTATTTTGTTAGAGAGGTCCAGCAGAAGCTTAATAAACCCTGGAATAGTTCCCTTAAGGTGTGTGTGTATCTCAGGAATGGTTAGCAGCTGTGGCAGACAAAGCACACTTTCTACAACCACTCCTAGGTCTTTGGATCTAACAGCAGCCAAGAATGGCTCAAGCACAGAAACTGGCACTGTTCTATAGTAGCTCAGATACTGCAACGTAGAGAATGCAATGTACTGTATAATTGACTGCGGTGCCTTTATGTCGTTCAGCACAATGTTAAACATGTCGTTATTCGAGTGAATGTACTTGCCTGCTATCTTGAAAAGAGTGAGCCCACCGTATCGCAGTCTAATATTCTCTGATGTTGGGCTCAGTGTGTACGAAGAGATTTCGTTAATAATCGCACCGATTATGTACCTCATTTCATCTGGAGACTGGCTTGTCTTTTTAACAATTTCCAAGAACAATTCACTTGCCATGCTACTTGCATTCTTAATGTATCTGGCCTCATTTTCCCGCATAAAGTCTATTTGACTGCTCTCCCAGGACTCTTCCAGGTCCTTTGTAAATGAAACTGCAGGAAGAATAAACTGCGTAGTGATCATTGGAGTGTCCTTTTTCACCGCCTGCCAGCCTACGTCCTTGTTTATTATGTTCTTAATCAGCTCAAAGGACAGCGCCTCTATCTTTGGAGATGCTCCTGTTCTTGTGTACAAAGAAAGAATATTAATTGCCTTCTTGTACAGCAGAACCAGAACATCCTTTCGTGCAAAGAGCTCGAATGCAGGCGCCTCCTTCTTCTTCTTTATCTTCTTTAAAAGGCCGGTAAGCACCATAAATGACCACTTAATAGCTGATGGATGCTCATAAAGTGTGTTTATGTTCATCTCTATCACGCTCAGCAGAGTCTGAACAAACATGGGATCCTTAAACACATTTGGAAGCAAGTAGCTTTCGCATGAGTGCCCTAAAATCTTCATTCCAAATGCAGCCATCACGTGGTTTCCCTCTTTTATGGCAGCCACTATAATATTCATAATGTCTCCGCCTAAATTGTCCAAAATAGTCTCAAAGTGCTTCTCTGTCTTGTACTCCTCGATAAACGAAATTATTATTTTGTTAAGCATTTTGAGTCCCACCATTATAACTGCCTGGTCATTGCTTTTTATAAACTCCTCCACCTTTTTAATAATTGGCCCCCACTGCTCCACTTCCTCTTCTTTTAAAATAAAGTGCAGTGTCACAATAAGCTGCTTTTCTCCCTCCTTCGACGCAGACAGCAGAATGAACGGAAATTCCTTAATTATCATGGCCTTATCAAACCCGTCCAATTTCCAAAACTTTTCTAAATATCTTCTGAAATAGAGAGCAGACAGCAATCTAACAGACGGGTCTTCATCCTTTGATGAGAGGTGTAATAATCCTGTCAAAAAGCCTTCTGTTCTACTAAGTTCCTCAATTGTCTTTTCTGCCTTCTTCTGTGCATTTATGTTTGGCTCTGTTGTCATAACCACACAATCTCTTAAACTCACTTCTGGTTTTACTGTCATATATATGTGCTGGGGGTAAATATTTTTTTGTAATTTGTATGTATTGTGTAAATATTGACAGATTCAAAGAAGACTCTTTTCACATACAAGAGTACTTAGAAGAAGTATACGACCAGTGTACAAAGCAAGAAAATGTCTCTTGTGATTTTATCATAGCAGAGCTTCATAAAATAAAGGAGGCTTTAGTCTATAAAGAAGAAGAGATAAAAGATAAAAAAATATACTTCTCAGGGAAAGAAAGAATAGAAGAACTAGGCGGGGTTCTCTCTTCTGTTGTTCTTTCGTCTGAAAGCCTTGAGTTCATGCGAATTATGGATGACTATGAGAAAATTAAAAAAAAGGGGAGGTACATGGAATACTGCATTCTAGCAGAAGAAGATGCACTTTTAGACCGGATTGGCGAGAGCCAGTCCTTATTAGAAATATCTGAATTTTTGCAAGTACTGCTGGATGCGGCTTCTGTTGCTCCTCCTTCTAAAAAAAGCAATACCAGTGTGCTGGGCAGTATTTCCAATGTATTTGAGTCTGTTATTGGTAATAAGCCAGAAGAAGAATCGCCAAACCAAAGAAAGCCAGATAGTAAGGAGCTGGTGGATGAGTTTAATCTTTCCGAGAAAGAGGGCGTGCTTGTTTCTGGCGTGCTGTTAAACCGGCTAAACCAATATAAGAAAAGAATTGTTTCTCTGGCTAAAACCAGCTATGTCGATGCGATTGAGAAGAATAATATAGATGATGCAAAAAAAACTGCTGTTCTTTGTTATACACTTGGACTAAATACATACGCAATTGATCATCTTATAAAGAGCCAGAAACCACTGCCATATTCTTCTATTATTGTGCCAGATATTGACTTGGTAAAAGAGAGCACACTTTCTGATCTGGTTGATTATTTAAATAATGTGAATGACCGAGTAGAAACAACAGTTTATCTTATAAAAGACCTACTGATTAATAATCATTATATGATGAACAAAGAAGAGAACTCTTGTATTCTGAGCCCTTTAGAGATGTTTGGACTGATAAAGAATCTCTTAAACACCTCCTTCTCTTCTGTTATATCTGCTATAAATACGATTGATGATCCGGTGGAGTACTTAATAACAGCAGAAACAATTATCTCTCATATTTCCTTGCTTAAAGATAGAATCTGCTATATCATACCTGGAGTAAAACCACGTTTAATGAAGCACAGCATAGTTCATATGGTAGAAGATGATTTACTTGAGAAGGAGACAGAGTCCATGCGAATTATATTTAATGGACTAGTAAAAGCTGTTACCTCTAATAAAAGTACATTAAAGTACAAAATAAATGGAGAAAAGCTCACTGAGTTAAAAACCCCACTAGAAGCTGTGTTTAGGTACATGGCATTCTGTCACAAAGTATCCAACAGAAGTGTAAAATTTGGGTATAGCCACAAGATATTAGAGCTTCTGTTCAATTTCCAGCTACGCGGATTTACTGCAATACTAGATGCTATTTTTAGTAAGAAATACATACCATATCTAGGCACTAAATTACACCTAGACACTTACCTGTGCATCAAAAAATACTACAAAAAAGTGTGCAATCCAGTAAATGAAGAATGTGTTTCCAGTGTGGTTAATAAGCTTAATCAAATAGAAATAACCAGAAACAAGAATATTTCTAGCGCAGAAATGCACTATTTAATATCTAAACTGGAAGCCCCTTTAAATGCATACGATGCACAAGGGACAGTCTCTCTACTCTCTGAATCCTTCAACTACCTGCCAAGCACTCCTGTATATAAAGTCATAATAATTGAGACAGTTGAGATATTCTACATAAAAATAAAAGAAAGAGTCTACACAAGGACATCAATAAAAGAAGTGAAAAAATCATTGGATTACATAAACATTCTTTATAAATACAGTAAAACACTAAAAACACAAATTGACAGGAAATTAAAGCGATTAAAAGATTTATTAGAAGGTGCTCTAGTTGATGAGTCTGATCTGTACAGAATATTTGACTTAGTAAAAGCAACGAATGAAGAACAAAAAGTAATTAAAAGAATCAGAGAAAGAATAAGAAGTAATTCACAAGAAGAATAAAAGTATTTCTATCGCAATAAATAGGCATAACCCAAAATTTGATACTTGCAAATTCTAAATTTAACTATTTATAATTATATACGTATTATCTGTTTATTCTACTGCTATATTTTGGAGGAATACTAAATGCACTTTTAGTATTCTTGGTATAATTAGAAATACTAAAAGTATAAGAAGCAAAAAGTAAATAAAATATTTATGAATGAGAGTGAAAAGGTTAAACGTGTGGATGACTTAAACAGATTATTAATCCAGCTGATAAATAATATGAGAGAAGTATCTGATGGTTTGTACAGGCACACATATGATATAGACACAGAATTGCCTCAAATAAACAAAACAGTCATTAGCACCATAGAAAAGACAGTGAACAGCTTAAAGGAAGACTTATTCGTATCAGAAGAAGTTGTCTCATATTTAGAGACAAAAGACGGGGATGCGAATGTATTATTAGAATACTTAGATGATAAAGAACATGAAATAATGAAGCTAAAGAACAAAGCACAGGGAAAGTCCAAGTACTTTAAAATGCTTTATAATGGAATAATGAAATAATATTTAAAAATGAAATAATTAAATGTTCTCTAAGCTATTCTTGGTGTTAGAGCGATTTTGGGCTATGCGGTGTTCTAGTAATTTTGTTGTATTTATTGGTGTCTTATAAATTTTTTATGGGTATAATAGAATACACTGAGTCACTGCCTGTTATATCCTCTATTTATGGGCTTACCAGCAAAAGTACGTTAAGGTTTCCTAAATATGCATTAGGAATTGGTGCATTGCTAGGTGCAGGTATTCTTATTAGAACTGGCACTGGGAAGAGGGTTTTTAATGAACTGTGGGAGGTTGGTTTTAGTGATAAGAAAGGAAGTAGTCTTCCGCCGCAGGATAAGCCCCTTCCCACTGTATTTATAGACATAGAGGAGGTTTTACTTGAAAAAACCTGGTCATTTTTCATTCTTGGGTATGAGTATAAGATTAGGCCAAATGCTGGTGCGTTCTTATTTCAGCTGTCAAATGAGTATGAAGTAGTTGGCGTATCATCGATGCCAAATGAAATATCAAATGAAATACTTAAAGTACTTGATCCATATGGCTGCATAAAGTACAGAATGTATTTACCAAATAGAGAAAAGCTGGACTTAAACTGTGTTAATAGGGACAGGCGGTCAATCATTCGCATTAGAAATTGCAAAACATCTGGAGAGAACGATTTGTGCATTGATAAGTGGAATAATGATTTACAGATAAATTCAGATACATTAATGAATACGCTTGATTTCCTTTTAAATCTGAAACAGCTTGAGTCAAGTGATTTCCGCCATGTAATTAAGTCGTATAAAAACAAGAATTTTGAGAGTGCATATGGTGAGATACAGCGGTCTATCTATCCTGCATCAAGACAGTATTTTTTGTTTAAAACTCCAAATGGTGTAGAAGAAAAAATTAAAAGCATAAATAGAAGTCGTATTGAGGAATATGAAATAGCAAGGGAGTACATTGAAAATAAAATGAAAATCCATAAAATACAGAGTAGTAATAAAAAGTAGAGTTCATAAACTGGATTACTATATGATGTACTTTATTACATTATGTAAGTTGTGCATCGAAAATAAATCTATCTGAAATTTGCTTATACGCACACATTCACCAAATTAATAATTGCGCATTTTCTTACTATTTAATTTTGTGTGTAGTCTTGTTTATGCTATTTATAATTTATTTTTGTATTGCTACTCTTTAAATAAAATCAAACCAGTTCATTTTACAGCATGGAGAGTTTTATTTTTATATTCAGACGTAAAATACAAAAAAATACGATTTATTAAAGAACAGAGAGAAGAGTAATAAATCAGAAAAGCACTAAATAATAATATATTTTGTAACAAGAAGGAAAATATAATTTAAATATAGTTATTTTCTTAGGAAAGAGCATTCTTAAACTTAGGCCTTCATTTAATTTGTATACGTATTTATAGACCGTATAATCAATTTAATTTATGTTGACGTATTGTGTCAAAAATATTTCTGATTTAATTTGTGCTGTCCTGTTTATGTAAACACACAGATAAGTCATGTCATGCTACACAAATGCTAGTCTTAGCATACAACATAAAGTATCTACAAAATATTTAAAATATGTTTAAAAATGCTTACTTTATTAGAAAATTGAATCAATAAGTAATATTTCTATATGTCTGTGCATTTTCTCTTTTTAGATAATCTAGGATTATATTCTAAATATTCATTTATAAGAGCATTTGCATTTTTTAAATATTTTATGATATTCTCATATTTTTCCTTACCATTCTCATTATTGGCAACTAAAGAGTCCTTTTCCAATTCCAAGCTAGACAGAATTTCATTAAAGTTAATACTTCCATTGAGTGCTGCACTATTTGCAAATTCTGTAGACAGTTTTTTATAATCTATGAAGCTGTAGATGTAGCCAATCTGTGTGCACGAGTATTTAGGATTGCCGCAAGCATAAGACAGCCATGTAAGATAAATATTATTCAAAGCGGTTTTGTCTTTAGACGCCAACACTTTATCCATATTAGCTAGCACATTGTATAAACGTGGGAGTTCATATTTTTTAGTTAGTGTACTGAACAGATGCAAGAATATTGTTTTTGGTTCAAATATTTCAAATGCATACTTACTGCATATAGGATGCATAAACACATAATTCAATGAGGATACAACAGATTGTGTGGGATAATCTCCTTGTATTATATCAATTAGTATTAGTTTTATACTATTATAAGTAAAATCGGTTAAATTATGCACGAAATAATTAATCTTTGGGTAGTATTTTATATAATTAAGATTGTATATGCACTTAGAGAGAATTTGAGTTCTTTCCCTTTCGATATTAAGGGATACACTTCCTATAATATTTTCAGTGAATCGTTCCATGCCAGTATTTATAGGTAAATTTGCACTGCTATTATTAATTAAGAAGTCCATAAGAATAGAAGACTTATATTTTAAGCTTTCTATTGGCCCAAATAAGAATATTTCATTTGGTGTGATACTTGGTGTAATTTCGGGTATATTGACATTAACAGAAATAGGTTCTATATTGTTATCTATTGTTGGAGTGGCATAGTTGAAATTATTACTTATATAATTGTAAATAATATACGCAGTGTAACTATTTGGAGGCAAGTAATTTCCAGTGATTTGAATAATATCATCGCACATGTCCTGGGACAGGTGTGATATGCCAGAAACTACCCTAAATTCACAGAATTTAGATGAAATATCCAATTCTATATCTGATGAAACATGGCCATTTGATAATTTCATTGTGATCTTACCGCGTATATCAAGTGAACCATTAATCCTCTTAACATGCGTTAAATCAAAGGAGTAAATGTTCAATGTCCTATTTACTGTAAGAAGTCCAAATACATACTGTAAATAATCTGATACAGCCGGAATATCTATGGCTAAGATCTCATCATCGGCAGAGCAATTTCTGAATATAAAATCAATTCCATTCAATACATCTGTGCTTTGGGTTAGCTCGTATATAACATAAAGAATGTTAATTAGACCACCAAAAAGAGAATTTCCATTATTTCTGTTGTATATAATATTTGGATTATTTAAATTAGATACTATTTCAGACCAATCTCTGTGCATTTCTTGTGTAGCACACTCATTTGGAGTAGAGTATTTATCAAAAAACTTTACTAGGGCATCTGATGGATTTGTAATATGTGCTGTTGAATGTTTCATGTCCTCTGGATTATAAGTAAAAGTGCAGAAAAGGTTTAGCAACATAGTTTCAACATGATCATTGTAGTATGATGTTTCATCTGGCATTGATTCTGTATTCATTTGAGTATACTCTGGTATTCTTGTGTATGGGTATACAGATGCATTATTTATGAATGGAATAATTGCTGCACAGTCTAATTTAGACTTAAACCCACAAAATTCTTTAATAAGTACTTCTTCTACCGCAATGCCGTCTATTGGTATAAAAAGTGAATTTTTTACTGTCTCTGTGGATTTCGGAATAATTGACGTTTTCTTTGAAGATTCATATAAATCCTCTAGTAGTTCTAGTGTAGATTTTACTAATTGCTTATACTGATGTATATCCTCAATATACTCATAAATATATGACTGTATAAGGAAATTTGCACTGTTTAGGAAATCACCAATAGAAAAATCTTCTTGCGTTGTTGGCTCTGCAAAATCGCATATTCCGGATAATAGTGTACATCTGCAAAATTGTTTAAAGAAGTCAATGATTTCTTCTGTTTCTGTCTGAGCAATTAATTCGCCATTTTCTTCTGGCATAATGCTCTTTAAGTGCATATCCAAGTTGATGTAAGAGAGTGTATCCTTTGTATTGTTAAAACAACTGTGGTTTTTCCGGTTAACTCATTTTTATCTATATCAATGGGAACATAAATACCTTCAGACAAAAGCAATAAAGCAGAGAGTATGTATATACTATCCGACTTACCACTGTGGAATCTTAAAAACCTAGTGAATGAATTGGATTTATACGGTTCAATCGAAAGAGTATTACTCTCAGATGGAAACATATAAATAATCATTTTATGAAACTTATGTAAATAATTCGAATCAACCTCACCACCTTCAGGATCATGCGGCTTGTCATTTTCTGGGGTTCTAATGTATCTATAAGTATGCGCATTCTTTGTAAAATCAATATTGTCTTCTAATTTATAGTCTATGTTTATCTCAGGAGAGAAAAATCGTTTGTTATGCATGTAACCAGCATTGTGTGAAACATATCCACGCAGTAGGTTTAAAGAACCACTTGGCTTAATCCTCAGATCATTTTCACTTCCAAAAAGGATTTTCTGTGCATCCATTATCTCATGCAGTGGCATTCTTGCATAAATACTACTTATTACGAGCAATACCTGTATGATCATTTTTCGGGTTAAAATAAAATTCTTTTTCTATTTTCAAGGGTATAAGTATTATACTGGTTTTTAAATAAAATTGCTATTAAATATGCCTAAAAATAGAAATGCAAGTACTTTTTTCTTAAATATTCTAAAATAATTCCGGGCTATATATTTATTTTTCGGATTTCTGTGTATAGCTGCACTTTAGTAATAATTCTCAACAATAACCCGTAATACTCCATAAATTTGTGTCTAATTAATTATGCATAAAATGACAATTTAATTGGTTTTTATTCTATTTCTATCCCTGTAATAAGATTAGTCTACATGTATTTAGAATGAATAATTCAGGAGGCACAGGATAATTTAAATTTATAAAACAAAATATTACAGTAGCATACTAGACTATATGATAGAACCAGTGAGTAGACCATATAATAGTAGGGATGGATTAGTTGTAAAGGTTATGCAGGTTTTGATTAATTCATTTATTATTTTAGTGCTAATACTTGGATAAATATTAAAGATATTTGTTTTAACTGTGCTTATGAGTATTTTATGTGCTTTTTATAGTGTGTATTACATTACGTATAAATAATTTTGTAATAGCCTAATTCTACTGCATAATATTTTGTATTTTTATTAGTCAATAAGCACCCAATAAAAGTGCGCATTTTTTTTGGTCTCCTATACTTGTAATGATGTACTTGCAGTATGCGTATAAATACAGAAACTGTCTTATCCCTTTGTCGCATGAAAAGAGTAAAAGTATTGTTTGGCCGCTCTCACAGGAAATGGTTCAACCATACGGATACAGCATAAGAAAGAACTTATCCCACCATAAATATATTTTTTCATGGACAATGTGTATTGTATCGTATGCATATATTGCTATACTTAACACGTACAGAAGCACATTAGAATATAACCTATCGATTATATCTGTAGTTCTTATTATACTATATCTTCAGATAATATTTCATAACAGAAATACGGAAATGACCCGCATTACAGCAGTAAATTCTTTAAAAAGAACTGTACTGCTATTACTCATTGGCAAGTGCGTAGAGTATTCTGTACAGTGTATTAGTAAGATAGATAAAAGTTCGCGAATCCTTCTATATTTAGAAGCAGAGCAGTCTGTTGTGTACGCAGGGATGATTCTTTACAGCTTGAGTTATTCTGACATGTCAGCGCATTGGAGAGTACTTTTAAGCACAAGTGCTGTATACTGCGTAAAATTATTCATGTGCTACAATTTTAACAAAATTGAATAACCCGAATAACCCGAATTTATAAAAAATTTAATGGAACTACAAGAACGCGAAATATTAAAATTATACGAAGAATGCTCTGTCACAGGATTGTCATCTGGCTTAAGTAAAGAAGAAAAAGAGTATTTTTGGCTGCAGACCCGAATTTTAGGGTGGAGAATAGATGATGCAGTAACAAAAGAAACAGTTTATGATTTGTATAAAGAAACACTAAAGAAGCACAAGAAGATTTTAGAAGTAATTGAGAAAACAGACAAAAAGCTATTGCTTCACTATTTACAAGCAGATCTGTCTGTGGAAGAATTAGAAAATGTACTATTGCATATTTACAACAAATAATAATAAAAGTATAAAATGAAAATATTTTATTATCCATGTAATCCTGTGTTAATCGCTTTGTGTTTATACTTCAGAGTTTCATGCCACAGGGACATTTAATATTTAATATCTATGGAGTGTTTCAGCTGTGTATATAATGTGTACATCTGTATTTTGGGCTATGAGAGTATGCATTTTAATTATTATACCATTTGCGGTGTGTGATGTAGCACGGCAAGTAATTGATGCGATTCAAGAGAGCCGGTTGAAGTACAATTTAAACAAGCTAACTGTTGTAGATTCAATGAATGAAATTGCAAGGGACAGAGCAGAGATTCTTGCTGGGTCGAGTGAGTTAGAAAACAAAACAGAGCTTCTATGGGAGCTAGCTCAGAAGCATGGCTATAAACCAATTGCAATGGGAGAGAACATAGGGAAGAGTGTAAACAAAGAGAAGGAAGGGATTGACATATTTGAAGAGTGGATAAAGTCCGAAACACACAGAGAAAATATTGTGAATGCCCCAGAGTATACACACTTAGGGGTATACAAGTTAAAAACTGAGTCTGGCATATACCTCTCAGCTATATTTGGGCAGGAGAGTGCAGAAGACGCAAGAAAAACCGAGAAAGCTTTGCCGCAGAAAGCGAGTTATGGGGCATCTAATAATAATGGCTTAATGGTCACAAGCACTCGTTCAACACCTGCTCCAGCGCAGAAAAATGCACCTCTTCCAATGCAGAGACAAAATTCAATGGGGCTTATGCCAGGGATTAGTGACATGCGAAGCCCATTGAAGCCAGTTATGCCACAAGACAATAAGTCTAATAAAAAAGCGTATAGTGTAGTAGAATTAGTCTATCCAAGAATGACTAGGCTAACTCAAGACTCATCACAGAATCCACCAATAAAATTTATTCTTGAGAGCGAGGATGGCAAGAAAATACAGGAAATAGAAGTACCAGAAACTTCTGCACAGGAACAGACCCAGCAAGCGCAAGGATCGCAGCCACAAACACAACAGCCGCAGGGACCACATATATTGGGAGAAGGACAGCAAGTAATGCCTGGTGAGCAACCAGGTGCAATTAATCCGAGGACTGTTAATTTTACATCACCGATGCCCCACCCTAGTCCACCTACTCCGGATATGCTAAAAACACAGAATGCGCAGGAGAATGGATCAAATCCATCACCACAGAAACAAACCATTATAAAACTAATCATGGTACAGCCCGGACAGAATAACACGCAGAGCATGGGAGCACAATTATCTGCGTCTTCTGCATGATGGTATGACTAAATTTATTTTAGGGAATTTCTGGTTGTTTAATAATCTTCTACATAAAGCACACATTTAAACTAAAGAATTCATTTTATAAGTCATTTAGTAGTAATGCCATGTGACTACTTAAATTTCTGGTTATTTTCTACTGAATTATAAGATGTAATAATTATTCTGTTGTTTTATTAATATAGGAGTAATGCACACATATAACACAGTCAATCTGAATATTCATTAAATGGCAGTTATATTTTCATTAAACCATTTGTTATAAGGCTTTCTTATAATACTCTACTAAAATATCTTTATATAGTAATTACCGATATACTAAGATATTATAAGAAAGCAAATTATTTCCTTAAATATTCTTGTACAGAATGCTCTTTAAATGCATTCATTATTTTCTGTATTTTATTACCCATTTGATGGAGACATTTCTAGGCTCTGGCTAATACATATATTGAATTATTTTCGGGTTATTTCGGGTTATGTGTTATTCAATAGAAATTCTCTTGCTTCATTTACTTTCTGTGATAAATATTCACTTCCACCAGAGTCTGGGTGATTGGCTCGTACGAGCATTCTGTAATTAGTGTCTATTCCCGATGATTTTATAGAAAATACTCCTAAGATAGACATTGCCTCACTAACAGTCATTTCTTTAAGAAATCCGCTGTGTCTCCATATATTAATACCCATGCGCACTTTTTAATTTATGTCTAATGAAAGAATTGACAATAACTTTAGCAAAGAAGGGACTCTGTACCAAGTGGAATATGCGCTAGAAGCAGCAAAAAAGGGGATGCCATGTGTGGTTGTGGGGAGTACTTCTTGCATTGTAATGGCTGCTTCTAAAAGACTTCCAGAAAAGCTTATGGACCCAGAGTATATTTCTAGCTTTACCTCTGTTATTCCTGGGATAATGGGTGTAATGAGTGGGTATCTTATGGATGTACAAAGAACAGTCACTGTCCTATCGGAGACCGCGGTAGAATTGCTTCATGATTTAGGGCAGACGCCTACTCCAGACATTCTAGCTAGAGAAATAGCAGATCAGTGGCAAATACTTACGCAGGAGAACTCCAGAAGACTTCCTGCTGTATTTCTAGCTATTGTAGGGTATGAGAAGAACATTCCTAAAATATACTACACAGACTCATCTGGTACACTTCTCCCGTATAAAGCAGTTGCATTTGGTGAGGGAGGCGCACTTATGATGAAAAAGCTAGAAAAGCTGTATAAACCAGAACTAACAGAGAGCGAAGCAGTACACACCGCGCTAATTTCTTTATCAGAGGCACTTGGTCCAGATTATTTAGCTACTAATGTGGAACTGTCTATTTTCCTGCCAGATGGCCAGGTAAAGGTATCCTCAACAGATGAGATTGATGCATATTTGGTTGAAATAGCAGAGAGAATCTAATCTGCCCAGAATATACTCAGAAATTCAATAAAAATCTTTAAGGAATATTATTCTCTGTACATATTTTTATTAATATGAAAGCAACAAGAACACTCTCTTTCCAAAGAATCTTCCTACTCTTTAGCACTGTATTACTAGTAGGACTACTTCTTAATACACTATGTAATATATTCTGGCTAGCAATAATCCTTGGTGCTTTATTTTCTGTAAGTATTTTGGTTCTGTCTGTGTGCAGAGCACTCAATGTACCAAGCGTTTGTAACAAAGAGTATAATGAATACTTAGAAAATGGAAAGGCACAACTAAAAGAACTACTTAAGAAATAAACCATTTCTATCGTATACCATGCAATGTTTCTTATTTACAGTAGTTATCTATCACATACAAATTTAAATTCTAACTGCATTTACCGTATTTAGTATATTTTATACCTGTATTTAATTAATTTATATTACACTCAATATGTGGAATATTTCCTTTGTTATTAATTATACCACAAAGAGAACAAATACTAATATTTGCTTTCTCTGAGAGAGTATTTGTATTTTCAATAATTAATCTTTTTGATAGTTGTATATTTCTGTTATTATCTATTACTAACCAATTATTCTCAATTAGTTCTTTAGCTACAGCACAATTTATAAATCTACTTACAGGAATATCCTTTGCATTATTTATAATTTCTAAAATTATATCCATTGCAATTATTTCATAGTCCTTTAATAATACTTCTTCTGTCTGCATGGCAGTTATAACAAGTGTTTTTCTGTCGTGCCAATTATTCAATTTATATCCTAAAATATTCAAGGAATTCTTCAAATATTCAATATCCTCTTCTGTTAAGTTTGATTTATCTATTTCATTATTTTCTAATATTCTGTGGAGTGCTTTTATGTTCATTATTTATTTTCTGTAAAAATATAATAATTATGTATAAAGCGTACAGGATAAATATCCACTAATATCCAGCAAATATACGATAATATATAGTAGAAATATAATATTCAATTAAGTCTAAGTTATATAAGTTATATCTGGATATTTAGTGTATAATACATCATATAGTTATTTTTATGCAATAACCCGATAGCCCGAATTTCATAATTTCACAAAAATAGTTTATTTACAATTTGAAAAAGTGAGGATTTTAAGATATTCAGTTAATATTAGTCAGTCGGTCGTTCAATGCCAGTTAGTCATTCAATTACTCTGGTATTTATTTATTATATTCCTGTGTTTATAATATTATAATTGTAATGATAAATTTCTATTTATTGTTTGTGTGTTTGATGCTTTTTAATATGTGCATCCCATAAATATTCTTGTTTATCTGGTATACTCATTACTTTAGAAATAATATCTTCTGGTATTTCTGTATATGAATTAATTATACTGACTGACTCTTTAATAATCCTTACTATTTCACTCTTTTGGAATTTTTGTGGTATATCTTGTGCGGTGATAAAGACAGAATTAGGGTCTGTCTTAGGATACGTAATTATTTTTTCAAGAACATATCTACTTTCTTTAATAATTATGCTTTCTATGCTGGGTGGGGCACTGAGTGGATAAAATTTATTTTCTTTTATTTGCATATATGCAGGAGAATTAATAATTTTATTTCTATACTCAAGTAAAGAGACTAATTGGTTATATTCCTGATTTTCTGTTAGTTGTATAATATTCGTGTTTACACTGCCAATAGATAATAATCTTTGGTTTAGGTATTTTTTGTCTAATTCATCTGATAATTCTATACCTAGCCAATTAGAGTAAATGACTTTTAAGTCACTCCATAAATAACTGAGGCACTCTAGCTGCACAGTATGCGCATTTAACCCTTTATATTCTTCAACCACACAGTCGTACAGTGATAAGTATCTGTAAATACTGCAAATTAACAACTGTACGTACCTATTATTTGGCAGTTCTTTTCTTTTTAGTAGTAAAAGAAGAAGTGCATCGATTATTCCTGTGGGATTCTTTGTTTTTATCAAAACCCCAATTAAAAATATGAAATCTGTCAGGTTATTTGAGTATTTTTTAAAGATACTGATTTTTTCGGCACTGTATTCCCTGTAAAAGTCAAACTCTGGGTTATTTAAATACGTATATCTTATTGGATCTACAGATTTTAATGATGATAAGCAGTGTTCTTTAGTATTTTCACATTCTTTTGATATTCTGTTAAGTATGAAGTCTAAATTACTACTTCTCTTAACATACTCTACCACGCTCTCTGGTTCTATTTTTAGTGATATTTTATATGTAAGATAATTGATGCTCTTCTTAGATTTTTCTGATACCTGTATCTTTTTATTCAGGCAGTATTCATAAATATCCCAGTCATCTAAATTATCCAGAAGAGTGTCAATTGTATATCCATACTCTTCAATGGAGACCCCTATAAGTACAAGTTTTTTAAGCAATAGCATTGAAGGAATATCCAATGGTTTTCCAATAATATTTGTCACTGCGTATTCTTTAAGAATATCATAGGGAATATTTCTGTTAAGTAATAAGCATATGAGTGAATTACTTACTTGAATTCTTTTCAAGAGCATTTTCAGTATTACCAACGTGGTGTTCTCCGTAAAAGTGTTCTCTTGTAATAGTAAAGCCATTGATGCATTTGGATGAGTTTTAATCAAACTCAAACAATACTTTTTACACTCTTTAAGATTGTTTTCCATTAATAACAGATTAAATATGTAAAAAGCATCAAACTTAAACAGATCTGATTTCTCTATCAATTCACTTATTCTATTCGTAATCAAAAGAGATTCTCTTGCCATTATCATTTCTAGTTCATATTTTGTAATTATATGGATTTGGTTTTTAATAGACTCGTATAAATACAGTGCCATTTGAATGTATCCATCAACAGAGAGACAGTACATTTTCATTACGTATACACGGACTAAAAATACTTCATTATTTATCACATCCTTTTTACTGAGACAGTTCTCCAGTGTAGAGTAAAAACTCTTTCTATACGGTCCTGCTAAGCTATATGCAAGCCTGTCCAGTAAAGCTGCTATACTCATTAAAAAAATAAAATTACAATAGGAAATAATCCATTGAGAAGTCTACAAATACGGGGTATTTCTACAATAATTAACTAGTTTAGCATTAATACGTTATATTTCTGGTTATAACCATAAAGAAATAGACAATTCTGGATTCAATGCAAGCAGTTATACTATAGAATCTAAAACAGAAAGGAGTAATTATTAATTATATTGAATGTCCTTGTATATCACACACTACTGCATAAATATTGTTTAAATTTCAGATTACATCTGACTATTCCAACTGTTTTATGTTAAAATTAGTGTATTTTAGTATTTTTAGGTATTTGAAATATTTTATATTCCGTTAAAAATATAAATTTGCAAATTTTTATATAATAGAATGATATTTGACAAAGCAAAAGTAGAAGAGAAAATAACCCCAATAATTAATGAATACAATGCAAAACCAATCAACTTTACGAGTTGCACTCCTAAACTACTTTCTGCCATATTAGATGTATGCAGAAGAGGCCAAGTTTTTGAAGACCGCAATGAATTGCTAAATAATCTAGCATATAATGCATTTGTTGTATTTTTAACACGATATATTAATGAAAAGCCAGTAACTAGCAATGATATGTGCATGTCTATTATAGAATCAGCTATAACAGACACTCAATCAGTTCTATCTGGTATAGAAGGGTGTTCGAACGTATTAGAAAGCCCAGAGAAATTAAGTGCTTATTATAGCATAATGAATAATAATCATTTATTTCTAATGAATATTTCAACAGTAATAGAGTATATATCTAATGATATAAAAGATGCACTGAACATGCATAACCGGAAATTATCATTAGATTCTGTTAGTAGTTCAAGTGCAATACAAACTCTATTCATGAAAAGTACTTCTGATGAATATTCAAGGTTTCAGAGAGCAGTAGAAATAATAACAGAGAATTGTGGACAGTTCACTAAGTATAATGACAGTGGGGAGAAAGTGTCAAATTTAGAGAATCTTAATCTATCTGAAGAAGATATTCAAACATTACACTTGTTTACATCTATCAGATCCATAGATTTATCTATAATATCAGAAAAATTACAAAAGTCAATTATTATAGAAGATGAAAAAAGACAAACCTATTCTACTTATAGAAGCCTATTGTACCACTTCTTTTTCTTTATACCCAAAAATGGATCTGTTTCCTATTTAAATATATTTGCTCCTACTAATGCAAATTACTGTGAGAATTCATTTAAAAAAGGATTATCTTTACTACAAGACTGTGCTGATAAAAACAATCTCTATTTCAATATTTCTAATCATGGCATTAACACTTTAACCCGAATTGATGGATTTGATTTACATAATTTCATTAAGATAGTTGGTAGTAATTATACAAGAATGTTTACTGAGCACATAAGTTCTCTTTTTAGTTCACATATTGATATAATGAAGAATTATCATGCATGTGATAAAGTAGTTCCTAATCTTAATTATATAGTAAACCATAACACACATAATCTGCCCATGTTACACATAGAAAAAGAACAAAAACCAGCTAAAGACTCATCTAAATTAAAGTCTTGGCTATCTATATTATCTGTTTCAGGGATATTATTAATTCTACTAATAATTGCTACTACCATATATATACATTATCGCAGTAGATTAAGTACTAATGCAGATAAGTTATGCAAATCATTTAGTACTAATAATTCTAAATTTAAATATAAAGAATTAACAGATTCTATCCGCAAGTATAATAATATATATAGGTAATTAACACATATACTTGGATATACCTAGAGATTCAATCTAATTAATAAATATATTTTATTAAACTAACTATTTTACATTCTATAATAAATATGTACAGGTTTAAAATAAAAAAATAAAAAGGAAATAAAAAGAATAATAAAGAGGGATAAATAATAGAAGAGGAGAAGAATGGGCGTGTATACGAGCGGGGTGTACATGAATAATTATTATACAATTTAGTACACTTTTAATGATTTTTACAGTATATTATACGTATACAGGAGTATTTAAATAGTAATTTATATTATAAGTAGTTTAATAATAGAATATAAAATGATTTGTTTATAATACAGTTAAAGTGACCAATTAATACAACAAATAATATATATTGTAGACTGATTAGAAGTATAATGAAGAGATCAAGTATATTTATACTTATACTTATATTAACAGCAGGGATAGGAGTACCAGCTGCTTTTTTATTTATAAGAGGGGCAAAGAAAAGAAGTAATAATAGAAAAAGTGAAAATGCAGTAAATAGTAATACAGTATTAAAAGCAGAAGAAGCAGTGACAGAACAAGAAGAAGCAAAGCAAGAAAGGGTAATGGATGAGCAAGTAAAGAAAGAGCAAGAAAGAGCAAAAGATGAACAAGAAAAGAAAGAGCAAGAAAAAGCAGAAGAAGTACCATACATAGTAGATGACATGGGGTTTGTTCGTTTTAATTCATTATTATCATCTGAAAGCAGTGTACATAACAATGTAGAACAAGAAGATGAACATGTATCAGCACACCACAGTAGCACAGAACAAGAAGATGAACATGTATCAGCACACCACAGCAACACAGAACAAGAAGATGAACATGTATCAGCACACCACAGTAACACAGAACAAGACGTAGATGGAACTAGTAATAAAACCACATATGATGTAGAGTATGTAAGCAGTATATTTACTAAACCATCTGAAGAACCAGTAAATGAACAATCACCAGCAGTGACAGAAGATAATTTAGACAATCCACCACTGGTAAACAAAAAGGGAATTAAGCCAGAAAGTGTAAACACACAAGTAGAGAACGAAAATACTTCAGTAGAAGATAATGCTAAATCTGGAGGACTCTTTAGTCGTTTATCCAATACATTCTTAAGAAAGCCAGAAGAACTGAAAGAAGAGCCAATAACCAAAAAACCAGAAAATTCACCAACGGGAGAAGTAAAACCAGAGAATAGTCCAAATCCAGATGAAGTCAAGAAGAATGAACCAGCTACAGAACCGGAACCCGAAAATATGAATACTGCCATTGCAGAAGAAGGCAGTACTAAACCATCTTCATTTATGGGGTATATAACGAGTTTCTTTAATACATCGAATGTATCACCAGATGAGAAAGAGTCTCGTCAACTAAACTCAGTCACTCCCAGTTATACAGAGGACAATGAATCAGACAAGTTTATAAGCCATGAGGATTCAAGTATATCATCTGAAATTGTAAATAACTATGAACCATCTGATAATAACAATGAAGCAGAGACAATATATGAGCAAAGCATTGAATCCAACAGTGGATTTGATTATGGTAATTCTATGCCATTCTAAAATATATTACACAATGTATTATTAAAACTATATAACTTATTGCACAGTGTATTATTAATTTTGTATATATGTCTACTATAACTTATTACATAATGTATTATTAAAACTATATAACTTATTACGCAATGTATTATTAATTTTGTATATATGTCTACTATAACTTATTACATAATGTATTAAATAAAGTAAGCAAACAAGCACTTATGATATATTACTATTTGTTTATAATTTATTGTACAATGTGTAATAATTTCTATTATATAAACAAATTCATATAAAGAGCCATTCATTTAATATGGTTTGTTTATTTTTTACACAATGTACAATAAATTATAAACAAATACCAATATAATTAGCACATATCACACAATGTACAATAAATTATAAACAGCCCACACAAACTTCACTCTATAATATACTACACAATACATAATAAATTATATAACCACTTATTATTTTATACACATACACTTATATATTATAATTTTTCTTTTTATTACACTATTATCAATAAGTCTTACTATACGTTTTTATTACAACGCTTTCTTTCATTAACATTGAAATATTTTGGCAGAATTTTCACTGATGAATTTTTCAAACTATTTATTTATTTTTTTATTACCTGCCCATGCAAACAACAGGACTGAACAACTACTATAGAAACTCGTCCCTTCCCACAGAAGAAGCACACGAGGAACAAGCAGACCAGTGCAGTAAGTTCTTTAAAGTACTCAAAGTAGAGTACCCAAAGTTCTTCACAATGGCATTCCTTTACTACTGCATTGTCTTAGCATACTCCATCCTTAGAGACACAAAAGATGCCGTGGTACTTGACAGAATGTTACCAGCATCCATCCAGTACCTTAAGTCATTCATTGTAATGGGCGTAACCATGGGATTCGCAATCCTATTCCAGCTACTCCTAGCACGGGGTGTCACACTAGAGAGACTTATGTTTATATTCAATGCAGGATTCGGAATATTCTTCTTTGTGTACGCTCTGGTCCTATTACCAAGCATAGATTACATAGAACCGTACAAGTTCTGGATCCATGACATATTCGCAGACAAGAAGATGTTCATTAATGGGCTTGAGTTCTTACAGGGCTTATTCCTTACGATTAATTTCTGGACGGGTACGCTTATTTACATAACAGCTGAATTATGGGGCAATGTGATGGCTTCACTGATGTTCTTCGCAGTGGCTAATGAAATATGTCCATTAAAGCAGGCCCTCCGGTTCTATCCGTTATTCATTATTGCTGCTAATTTAGGCCTGGTCACATCGGGTGGGTCTATGATACTGAACTATTACGTGCTTACGGCATTCCCTGAGTACAAGACAAAGATAATCGGTGGGTTTATTGCATTTGTATCTGCACTGTGCGCCATGAACATATTCACGTACAGGCACTTAGTCAAGAACATCATACCGTACCCTATCTACATCATATCTGAAGGTGCCCCCAGGAGGAGTGGTGGCAAGGAGAAGGTGGGCATCCTTGATGGGTTTAAGATTATGCTGAAGACCCCGATCGTATTCCACTTGTCAATTACTGTGCTTGGGTACGGGTTATGCACTAACTTAACAGAAGCCGCATTCAAGTCTGCGTTAAGGAGTGCTTCTAAGTCAAGTGGTTCTGATGTCATGACGAGTGTAGTGCTCGTACAGGGATCCCAGCAGATAACGATCGGGTTAGTGGTCATTGCGATCCTCCTGTCCCCGATTAAGTCATTAATCCAGAGGAAGGGGTGGCTCGCCCTGGGCATGATTACGCCCGTGTGTACGCTGATCAGTGCGATGTCATTCCTGCTGCTCGTATGGGCGAATGCTTCAGTGACTGTCACTGGCAAGGAGGCAGAGAATCTTCTTAACAGAGTCAGTAAGCGGCTGTTCACTGCCGTAGGGTGGGTTAATAACCCAGAATTAGAGTCACGGGTAGGCTTCTACGCCGTAAATGCCATAAAGATCTTGAAGTACGCTGCATTCGACATAGGCAAGGAGGCGATCGGTATAAAGATCCCGAAGGAGTACAAGGCCCGGTTCAAGGGGGTGTACGACGGTGTCTGTGGTAAGCTAGGCAAGTCACTTTCATCGAACTTACAGATCCTTATGCTTGGGATGCTGAACCTGTCTGATATCCGGACGGCCGCGTTCCTTCTGGCCGTGTCGGTCCTTGGGGTGTCCCTGGTGTGGAACTTCTCCACGCTGTATTTAGGCCGGAAGTACGACGAGTCCGTCCGGGAGGGCCGTGACTTATACATTGGTGAGATATCCAGCAAGAAGCAGGTCAACAAGGAAAGCAAGTTAGTTCAATAAACCACCACTAATATTACCGTTTACTCCCACGCGTACTACCGCATGATTATGCAGTGGGCCCTGTACGGTGGGTCAGAATTATTCAATCATTGCGCATAAAGAATTAATAATTATTACGCTTAGACTACAAATACTTGGAACCCGGTTATATTTACGGTTAAAACAGAATATATCACACATTATATCATATATTTCATTATTTTTTACGCTTACCCCCGTAAGTTTTGCTCTTTTTTTCAAATTTTAATTTATTTCCCATGAGCATACGCCCGATTAAGAAAATAAAAATATCCCAGGAGAAAGAGGAGTTAGACCCGTTCTCAGCCGCATCAACCATCCCGGAGTACTTAAGCATAGCGTACACCCAGGAAATAGAAACCCGGTACATCTCGCTAATTGAAACCCTCATCCTAAGGATAAGCTCTGAGGAGAGCCAGAAGATATGGATATACGGCCCAAAAAGGATCACCGACCACATCATAAAGATACTTGCCGTATCAAGTGCCAAGAGCGTAGAGCCCCTGCTTAAGAAGCACATATTCGACACCTCCAATATTTACTTACTAGACCTATCGAATAATTCCGTACGTGCCTCACGGACTGTCCTGTACAGGATATTAGAGAAGGCTTCACCACTAAGCCTACTCAACAACAAGTTCATATTCCAGATACCCCGTGTGGCAGATATGCTTACGTTAGACAAAAGGATAGTCAGCAGAATGGACGGCGTAAAGGCGTATGTTAAGGAATTATCACAGAATGAGTACTTTAAGATATTCAGTCGTGTGATAGAGATAATCAAGGCACGGAGTGACATCCCAGATATAAACCGGGTTAGTTCGGGTTTACATGACTTTATAAAGTATTCGTATATGGTGGACAATACGTATGAAGGACTTTCTATTAAGTTCTATAAGTACTTATACTGTGTACAGGAGCCTAATCCGTATAAGTTATTAAGTTCAGTGCATTTGATTATTCTGATGGCTGCGTCTGTTAAGCGGGTCACTTTATGCAGTGTGTTTGAGGAGTTTGAGAGGCGTATTTCGTACGTGCCTCATTTCAAGAAGGTTTCCAAGGACTGTGTGTTCAGGCGGCTTACGGACTTAATGAGCTTAAACTTAATTGCGCGCGGGTACTTCACGAGCGACCGGATCGAGTTAGAGTCGGAGATACTTTCACGGGACGAGATATATTTAAAGGTCATGCTAGAGCGGGTCAAGAAGTTCTGGACGAACAAAGTGTAATAAGTAATGATTAATACACAATACATAGTACACACTATATAATAAATAATGATTACACTATTACTAATAATACATAGCATAATAAATACTACATAGTACACACTGTACAATATATAATACTTATTACACACAGTACATTATATAATACATAGTACATTATATAATACTTATTACATACTATACATTATATAATACATAGTGCATTATATAACACACTATAACAATACTTATTACATACTATACATTATATACTATTACATATCACACACAGTACAATAAATAATACACTATAACAATACTAATAGCACACAGCATAATAAATAATAATACATAGTACACTACTTATTACACACTGTACATTATATACTACTTATTATATACTACTTATTACACATAGTACATTATATACTATTACATAGTACACACTGCACATTATATAATACATAGTACAACTTATTACACATAGTACTACTTATTACACACTACTAATTATATAATACATAGTACACACTGTACATTATATACTATTACACTTATTACACATAGTACATTATATAATACTTAGTACAACTTATTACACATAGTACTACTTATTACACACTACTCATTATATACTACTTATTACACATAGTACATTATATACTATTACATATCACACACTGTACAATAAGTTTTATACTAGAGTGGTCTCTCTAAAAAATTCTAAAAAATGAACGAGAAGCAGACACTCGCACACTTTCTTGAGAACAAGAACTTTACAGCGACCAAGAAGTACCAAAAGAAGAAGAAAGAAGACAAAGAAGAAGTAAAAGACAGTTTAATAATAGTAAATGGAGAAGTAGTAATAAATAATGGACTAAAGAATGAATCAGAAGACAGAACTGTCATAGAAGACAGGATGACAGCCTTCTCATACGGCCGAGCCACCAGCAAAGGCAGGTGGTCAAAGGAGGAGACTATTTTATATTATAAGGGGCTATCTTTATGTGGGACTGATTTCACTCTCCTTGAGAAGATATTCACGGACAAGACGCGTAGACAGATAAAGAATAAGTTCAGCATAGAAGAGAAGAAGTATCCAGAGCGGGTTAGTCATGCCCTATCATCACACAGGATATTCAAGAAGGAAGAATTAGATGCACTTAGGAAGGAGTATACAGAGATAAAATAAGTGTAAAACAAAAATTATTAAAAATAACGGTTATTAAAAATTTTATACATAATACATAGTGATAATAGTGTAATAAGTAATACATAATAAGTAATAAATAGTACACAATAAGTAATAAGTAGTACATAATAAGTAATAAGTAGTACACAATAAGTAATAAGTAATAAGTAGTACACATATTACTCACTTATTACACATAGTATATATAGTATTACTTATTCTATTACTTATTACACATAGTACTACTTATTACACATAGTACATATATTACTACTTATTCTATTACTTATTACACACAGCCCATATATTACTACTTACTATACATAGTATATATATTACTGCTTATTCTATTAATTATTACACATAGTACATATATTACTACTTATTACACACTACTCATTATATACTACTTATTACACATTGTATATTTAATATTCCTATTTTGTATAATATAAATTATAAGTATAAATATAATATTAATTATTACACAATATGTTAGAAGTAGTAGACATACAGAATATTTTACAAAAACAAATTACACATGATGTAATAAGTAATGTACAGTATATAAATAATATTAATATTATATATTATTATATATTAATGAATATTAATATTAATGAAATATTACCAAATAAGGATAATACGTTATTTAGTAAAATTATTGGATATATTTACAGTAAAGATATAAAGAATACATATTTAGATATAAATAAGACTAACTTAGATAATACTACAGTAACAAATGAGATACTTAATAAGATATCTAAATATATACATAAAGAACTTAATGTATACAGTACTAATAACACAATAAGTGACAAGTTATACAATAGTACAGAATATAATACACATAGTACAGTAAGTAATGATAATAGCACAGAATATAATATGTATAGTACAACAAGTACTATTAATAATACAATGTGTGATAATAGTACAGGATATAATACACATAGTACAGTAAGTAATGATATATTAAGTAATAGTAAGTATTTAGTCTTATATGATACTGTAATAGACACTTATACTTACAATATCTTACACATCCTATTAAGTTATACTTGCTCATTGCTTAAAAACAACCAATATTATCAGAGTGTAGACGTACTTCCATTCGATGCATTATATAATGATATATTACCAGTAAGTTTACACAACTATATAATCAATGAGTTAAATATTCTGTATACATTATTAAGGCATGATACAGCAGAAGAGGACTTACACGATATATTTCAGAACATAAAGAGCTTATACTATTACTACAACAGGATAATGAATATACAAAGTATATATAATATAAAAAAAAGCAGTTATATAATTAATTATATAAACAATAACTGTAAAAACATTCCCAATAAGGAAATAGATAAATTTTTAAATAACAAAAATTTACTATACGAAAATTTAAACAAATTTTATAACGAATTCCAGTATGACACAATAATTGCACTAATTCAGACCAGGACAGGCTCAGGCACGCCAATATTTGACAGAATCCATAAAGATGACTTTTTATGTAATGTATTGCATAAGGTTAATGCAAAACACACCATAACTTATTACACATACTACATTATGTATTCGATATGTATATCAGTATTAATTGGTATAGGTGTAATAATTCTATTAAATAATACACTATGTGTAAAATATTCTAGTAATTATAACACATTGTATATAAATAAGTATATGAGTATATTACTTATTGCTAGTACCATAATAAGTTCTGTACAATTACAAACCCATCTGCTTAACTATAAAAAGAGTATTTTATCATTATTAGAAAATGAATATGATAAATTATTTATGAGTGTATGTGTAATAAGTATTATATCTATATCAATTTTTTATATTAATCCGTTAATTATTACAAATAATTTATTTAAATTAATTATTACTATATTTAGTATATTTAACGGTATTTTTTGTTTTTTTAACAATTATATCAAAAAAGGAAATATATTTAATTATAAAAATATTATTTATACAGTAATTTACATCATAAATATATTATTTATAACATATTTATTATATAATTATAATATAATCTACACATTTAACGGATTATAGTATTATAACGTATTATAACGTAGTATAATGGATATAATAAAGTTTTATTTTTATAATCTATATATTTAACGGGTTTATCAGTACTATATAGTATATGTATAAGTATATATAATGGGTTATAATCTATATATTTAACTGTATTATATGGTATACGCAGTGTATGTGCTATATATGGGTTATATGGTATATAATCTATATATTTAACCGTTTTTTATTTTATTTTTATTTTATAATCTATATATTTAACTGCTTTATATCTTATAATCTATATATTTAACTGCTTTATATCTTATAATCTATATATTTACTGTATGTACTGTGTTTACTGACATATTTAATAGTAATAATACTATTATCTTATATATAATCAGTGTAGCTGTAATTGCTGTTATAATTACTAATATAATATTAATTATACTAATTATACTATCACAATATGATTCAATCCCATTTCTCATTATATCCTCATACAACTGTAATAATTTATTCTTTAGTGCTTTATTAATCATATAAATAACTGAAAATAAAATTATAACAGTAAATGCACCTGATATTAAATTAATTAAAACCGTTAAAATTTTTAAATTATCAAAAATTGAATAAATCCAAAAATTTTCAGATAATTTTATCAGAATATTAATTATAAAAATAACTGAAAAATATCCCAATATAGAAATAAAATACGTACTATTCCTGTAATAAACAACCCCCTTTGTGGATGTAAATGTAAACCTGTCGTATATAACTGCCATTAATGGGATAACCCGTAATAATAAATTATAAATAAATCCAGAAGCAATGGGCAGTGTTATACTGTCAGTGACTAACTTAACACCAATTATACTAAAATGTATATATGTCAAAACAGAAATACCTGAAAATATCAAAGATATCCATATAAGGATAGATCTAAATTTTTCAAAATAACCGTTTAAATACTTCTCTGTATCATAAACCATTTGCTTTACTGTTTCTATACCGATTGATTCTGGCTTGACGCGTACATATAACCAATTAAGTCCCATATACCCGAAGGATATATTATCTACATTATCTACATTATTAAGGTTTGACTCTAACAGTTTATCAGTTAAATCAAAAAATGCTTCAGTTAGTGCTAACCCTATTTGTTTGAAATAACCGTTTTCTATAAAAATTTTATGTGCTAATGATAATGAAAGTGCTATTATAACAGTAAACACGTTTAAGTATGCTAATATTCCGTATTTCATTAGTGATATACTGAATAGTTTAAATGGGAATATTGCACTCTTACTTATATTTATATCCAAATTTAATATTATACAGATTATTAAAAATATCATAATTATAACGGTATTTTTGTTTTTTAATAAAAATTGTTTCTTTTCATTTTGTATTTCTTGTTTTTTTATAGTTTTTTTCTCTTTTGCTGTATTAATCAGTGCTTTTGTTTTTCTTGATTCTCTTCCTCCTAATTTATATTTCATAATAAAAATTTATGTTTGATATTTATATTTTTATAAGTCCAATACGTAATAAGAATAAATAACCAATTATATAACCCGACATAACCCGATATAATACAAGCATATAATACAAGCATATAATCAGATACACCAATCAGATATACCAGTACACATATAAACATATATATACTTATACACATATACTTATACTTATACCATATACCAGTACATATACTATATCCTATATACTTATACCAGTGCATATATGCACCTATTCTATATCTTATACTTATACCATATACCAATCAGATACATCAGCACATATACTTATATCTTATGTTCTTTTATTATATTCGGGTTATATATCCCTATCCTATATACATTACCAGTGCTTGTCCTATATACTATATACATACACATATTATATCCTATATACATATACTATTACATACACATATCCTGTATTTCTATTCATATACCCTTATACTCTTATTTATATACTGTCTTACTCTTATTTTTACTATGTATATTATACTGTTTATCATGTATATCATTATATATGATATGATTGGTACTATTATTATATATTTATTATACTTATTTAGTATATTATATCTGTAATACCCATTTATATACTTATATATACATGATATAATAATAGTATATGCTGTATAATATAGTATATAAGTATAACCAGGCGTAATAAGTGTATTATTAAGTATATAAGATATAAATAATAATAAGCATGGGAATGCATGCATACACAAATTAGAGAATAAAGTGATTTTAGTGTCACCGTATAAGGAACTTTTAGGGAATACTAAATTAGGGTTATACACGAATATAGGCCAGAATATCAAGAATATTAATATTTCAGATGATAATACAGTTGATGTAATATGTGCAGATATAACCCGAATATTGAATTTGTCAGTGTACTGCGTGATGAGTGTCATAAGGAATGATATAAAACTGAATAACAGTGTAGAATTAGTTATAAAAAAGAACTTCTTTATGGAGATGTTCATTTTTACATTAAAATAATTAGTGTGTGATATATCTAATAATCCGTATATACTGATACACATCCCTATAATACAAATTATATTATTCAACCAGAATATTCTTGTACTGTTTCCTATATCATGCAATCCATTCATTAATAAAATTCATAAAAAATTAATTAATTATATAACGGATTTAAAGTATTTTGGTATAATTGGTTTAGTATCCTATTTGTTATTATAATATGATTATGATTGGTATGATTATGCTGTGAATTATAGGTTTATTACAATTAGTATAAGATACACACATGGCATACTTATGACATATGGTATATGCTAAGTATATGCTAAGTGTATGGTATACAGTGGTATATGCTAAGTGTATGGTACACAGTGGTATATGCTAAGTATATGGTATATATGGTATATATGGTGTACAGTGGTATATGCTAAGTATATGGTATATATGGTATATATGGTGTACAGTGGTATATGCTAAGTATATGGTGTATATGCTAAGTGTATGGTATATAGTGGTATATGCTAAGTATATGGTATATATGCTAAGTATATGCTAAGTATATGCTAAGTATATGCTAAGTGTATGGTGTACAGTGGTATATGCTAAGTACACAGTGATGTATATTAATTGGTGTATATTATATACTCTTCTTGTACTGTGATATACATGTACTATTCTAATTATGGTATGCTTATATAGTATATGTATACTATAGGCATATGTGACATATGTGATATAGACATACTTATGCCTATTCGGATTATATCATGATATACTTCTGTTACTCCTATTATACTCATGCCTTCTTCTTCTTTTACTTTACTTTTTCTTGTTCTGTGGTTCTTTTTTCCTTTTTGTTATTTGTGCTTATGTGTGCTCTTGTCCAGATGTATTTATTTATTACTGTAAGCATATAATACACTGTACATATGGATAAATAACACACACAGAAGAATAATACACGGTATGTGCCAGTGAGGGTTTTAATCACACCGTACGGCCAGTACCCATTCAATTCATAACAAACATGCATAAGAATGATATAACCAATGAAGAACAAGAAAAGTAACCCATAACTTGCCAGTGTGTTCAACAACTCTATGTAAAAGAATTCCACCAATAAGAATACGGTTGGAAACCCGTGCATGCACAGATTAAAGAAGAGTGAGATACCGTCATCACCATCATAATAAGAAGGGTTTACTACGAGTGACTTATCTATATGCCACATAACCCAGAATGAAACAGGGATGAATAACTCCACAGTAATAGTCAGTGCGAATAAGTTCGGGTATATTTTATACATAAAATTATCAACGCGTTCCTTTTGTGTGTTAGATGTACACCTGCCCCTGTACATTATACACATCCCCAGTGTAATAGCTGTAAGGATTAGTCCAATATGCGTCAAGTGGTAGAACCTGTTTAAAAATGAAAATAGATCAGGGGATCTTAATCTGTACGGTTTACCTATGTCTAAATTACCGTATAAGGAAGTTATAATTCCTAAGGAGGCAACTGCATTCTGTGCCACTTTGTTTTTTACTGCCACTGGGACTCCGAGTATTTTCATTTCCGGCTATTATTTTTTAAACATTTAAATTTCGAATGGAAATTAATTTTTACTTATTGAATGGAGACATATGAAGAGTGCGTATACAAAGCAAAGCTAAGTGAAAAAGCAGAAAGGTTCAAACAAATGGTAGAATGCATGAAAACAGCAGTAAAACAAGCCAGTTCCATAGGAAAGAGTATAGGGATAGAGGAGAGAAATATGCTCTCTGTTGCGTATAAGAACCAGGTGGGGGTAAGAAGAACTTCCTGGAGAATACTCACAAAATCATTACAGGAGTGTAAGCTGGCAGAGCAGAATTCCAGTGGAGCAGTGAATGAAAAGCACATTCAAATAATTATGGATTACATAAAAACAGTAGAGAGTGAATTAAATGGGATATGCGATGACTTACTCTCACTACTGGACTCGTATTTAATTCAAGAGACAGCCAAGGACTCACAGGTATTCTTCTTAAAGATGAAAGGAGACTATCTCAGATATAAAGCAGAAATAGCGAATAATGAATATTTAGCAGAAGTATCACAGCAGGCACACGATGCATACCAGAAAGCAATGGAAATAGCAAATGCAAACCTGCCCCCCACAAACCCCACCAGGCTTGGTTTATATTTGAACTACTCCGTGTTCTGCTTTGAGATCCTGAATGAGCGGACCCGTGCGATAGAAATGGGCAAGAAAGCCTTTGATGAAGCAATTTCTGAGTTAGACTCTTTGACAGAAGAAAGCTACAAGGACTCTACGCTTATTATGCAATTATTGCGGGATAATCTTTCCTTGTGGACGACTGAGTATGCGGAGGAGGTTGCTTATTAAGTGTTGATTGTGCCTTTATTATGTGATTTGGACTATTTAAGGTGCCTGTGCATTTGAATTTCGGGTTATTAGCTTGTTTGACATTTTCCAATAAATACAATATTATAAATTTAGGGTTATATCGGGTTATACGGGATTGTTTCTGCATAATCATATGTTATGTATAATATAACTGTAATAAATAAGTATTTTATATTTAGGGTTATTCGGGTTATATCATTATTTATTTCTTATGGTATTTTATTACAGTGCACTATAAATATTTATTCATAAAATATTTTATATTTATACTTTTATCTTTTATATATAAATTATGCCCTGTTATCAAAATGATACTTATTCAATAAAATAAGGACTGCATATAATATATATAGCACATTGTGTATAAAATAATACTATACACTGTACTACTAATTATAACACATTGTGTATAAAATAATACTATAATGCACTAATTATAACACATTGTGTATAATATTTAAATTTAACTATTTTATTTTTTTATTTATAACACACTATGTATAAAGTAGTACTATACTGCACTAATTATAACACATTGTGTATAATATTAAAATTTTTTAATTTATCCGTTATTTATATATAAAATTTTACTTTTTTTTATTATGAACAGTAACAACAAAGAATACTTAATACAAGAACTAAAAGATACACTTGCTAATAGAAGTATAACACCCAATAAGTGTGATACAGTAACAAAAGTACTCCCAATAATACTAGAAATATTCACAAGAGAAAGAATAACGGACAGATCCCATAAGTCACTAGAACTTATTACATATAACACACTATGTTATATGCTAGACAAGTATATACTAGAAATAAGCAACTGCACTGATGATAATATAATAACAGCAGTAGAAGCAGCCGTTAATAAAACAGAAGAGGTAATTAATATAATTAAAAATACAGAAAAGGAAATACCCGAAAAGGAAAAAGTGAAATTTTTTAACTTAATAAACAATAATCATTTATTCCTGTTCCAGGGAGTATTATTAAGGCAAATTATACAGTCAGATATAAGGAAAGCACTAAAACCCGAATTAACCCGAAAATTAAAACCCGTGGATAAATCCACTGCAATAAAAAAACTATTCAGCAAGACGCGCTCAGGACAGACAAAACTACAAAGACTTATAGAACTATTAACAGAAAATAATGGCAAGTTTACAGAATATATTGGTAATGTAGAAAAAGTATTAAAACATAATACACAATGTGCAATAAGTAATGAAGATATAGAAATATTAAATTTATTTTTATATGTAGATATGAGTGCATTATATAATAGTATATGTGTAATAAGAAATGCATACATATTTAAAAATTTTAATGGCAAATCAAATCAAAAATTTTTATCATTTTTTGATAATTTATTTTTCTTTTGGAGCAACCCGATGACAGAAGGCAAAGAAGAAGAAATAACCCGATATAACCCGAATTTCTTATATGATATTATTAATAATACCACAGGAACCATTTACATTAAAGAAATAAGCAAGCAGATAGCAAATGACTGTCTAAGCACAGGCGTATCACAAGATAAATTTAATAATACAATTAATACGTATAAGAATAGTATTATAACACTATTAAATACACAATCACCAGTAAGTAATAAACTTAGTACACAATCAGTAGTAAGTAATGCACAAGAACCATTAAATACAGAACAATCAGTAGTAAGTAATGCACAAGAACCATTAAATACAGAACAATCACCAGGAAGTAATAAACTTAGTACACAATCAGTAGTAAGTACTAGTAAGGGAGCACTTAATAGAATTAAAAGGGGCGTATCATTCATAACCCGAGCCCAAGATAAAATTGAGGATAAGATAATAGGTCTTACAGTAACAGCAGTCAAAACAGCAACACAAGCAAAAGCACTACTAAAAGAAGCAAAAAAGGCAAAAGCACAGCCAGTCCAGCCAGTAGTCCAGTCAGTAGAAGCAGTACAAGTACAGCCAGTAGTACAAGCAGTGGTAGAGGAAGAAGAAATAGAAGTGGCAGAGGAAGCAATTGATCCAGTCGCAGAAGCAGCAGATACAGTTGCAGAAGCACTTACACCAAATATATTAATAGAAGCACAAGCAGAAGCAGTCAAGCCAGTACAAGTACAGCCAGTCAAGCCAGTACAAGCAGAGGCAGTCCAGGCAGTACAAGCAGAGGCAGTCCAGCCAGTCCAAGCAGAGGCAGTCCAGCCAGTATATTCTGAAGCATATTCAGCTGCGTATTCAGTTGACCAGGCGTATGTATCTATTAAGAATAAGTTAAGAAATATTATACTATGTGTAATAAGTATTATAATAATAATAATTATTTCTGTACTGTGTGTAATATATTCTGGTGGTATATCAAGATATATTACACAGTGTATTAAATATTTTAGTAATATTATATATAAAGTAGGTAATAAGATTAATAACACAGTGGGTATTAAATCATCACTAGAAAAAATAATAGAAGATATCGGTGGTGGAGTGAGTAATTTATTTAATTAATAAAATATAACTGATTTCCTTATATGGTAATAATATATTTATAGAAGTATAAATATTTTTAATTTTTAATAATTTTTATTTTATATGAGAGAAAAAAAGGCCACTGCGAGTGCATTAGATACAGAAAATTCATCAGAAATCAAAGGAGAATCTCTTATTATTAAAACCACCAGCACGGGATCTGATAATAATTTGGCAGCAGGTGGTTTATTAAGTAATATTAAAGATGTGCACGTAAGTGAGAATATGGCAGAATTTATTACACATAGCACAGAAAGTTCTCTTATTTTTCATATATTGTATTCAATATTTTACAGTACAGTACTATTAATTATTACACAATATGGCATAAGTACTGCACACTACACCACCAGATCAATTATTACACAGTATAATTATTTACTACTCACTGTGTATTATATATTCAATATATTACTACAATTTATTACACTATATGTAATAAGTAAGGATAGTACACTAATATTTACTAAAAATTTTCCAAGTAATAAAAATAAAATAATTAGTATTTTTATACTAATTATATCTGTAATACTCACAGGCATATTTATAGGCTTATTTAGTACAGATATATTTATTAGTATAACAATAAGTATTTATACAGGAATTAGTCTATCATACAGTATAATTATACTAATAGACATAATATTATACACAATATGTAATAAGTACGAGTGCATGTATAATTATAAGCATATGTGTAATAAGAAATTATCACTTATTTATTACATAAACATAATTATAAGTATAATTATAACAGTGTACACAGCATACATAATAAAAGACACATTATATCCAAATACAGTAAGTAATAGCCAAATAGGGTAATAGATAACCAAATAGGGTAATAATAATTAAGAATCCGTTATGTCCATATATAGTAATAATTAAGAATGACCAGATAAAGTAAATAGATAACCATATATAGTAATAATTAATTAAGAATACGTTATGTCCATATATAGTATTAATTAATTAATAGTGTGTTATATCCATATATAGTAATAATTAATTAAGAATACGTTATGTCCATATATAGTAATAGTGTCCATATATAGTAATAATTAATAAACCGTTATTTATTATTATTATTTTATTATTATTATTATTATTATTTTCCTTTTATAAATTATTTATCATGCATAATTTATCAGGATTTAATGATTCTTTTAATTTATACCGGACAGTTTCTTTTATTTTTTTTAAATATTTGTTATTTTCGTTATTTCCTTTTTTGGTATTCTTTCCTTTTATAGTAATCCCATACGCCTTACTTAATATATTCTTATATATCTCTATCTTAAATATAACCCCATCATTAACACAAAAATACTCCCCAGATGTAACCTCATACACTATCCCCATCTCCTTGATTATCTCCTCTAGCCGTATTATTAGTACATCTACACCAGCCCGTATCCCCTTCATATGCTTTATATAACTATTCCTTATCTTTACTTTCTTATCGCATATAAAGTCCACTATACTGTCAACCCTGTCCGTATATATATTACCCTTATACTTATACTTTATTAATGAATATACTTTATGTATACTATTACAGTATAAACCATCCTTCTTTATAAATTGATTATTAAACAAATGGTTTATATACGTACATATACTATTATCTAATACTTCTAAATTCGGGTTATATCGGGTTATATCAGACTGGGTTATATCCGGGTTATCATTAACCCATGGATGATTAAGTATCTGCTGTACACTTATCCTTGTATTCCTATCCGGGTTAAGCATCTGTAGTAATAATGACTTTAACTCCTCAGATACTCCGTCCGTTAGAATATTACTATTAGTTATCTTATGGTATAACAATTGCAGGTTCTTATCATCAAATGGCACTTTACCACATACCATTACGTACAGCACCACGCCTAAACTCCAAATGTCCACTTCTGGTCCTTTATATAAATTACCGGATAATAATTCAGGTGCTGCAAAATAAAGAGATCCACAGAAGGTCCCTAAAAAACCTTCATTTTCAAAAAAATTTGATAGTCCAAAATCTATTAAAATTGCATTATCATCCTTATTAATTAAAATATTTTCAATTTTTATATCTCTATGTACTATATTATGATTATGGCAGTATTGTATTGCATCAAGTATTTGTATAAAATACTTTTTAGCCGTTATTTCTGATAATTTTTTATTTTTGACAATTTTTTTTAACAATTGTTCACCTGAAATATAATTAAATATCAGATAGAAGCATTCTTTTGTGTAGAAGAATTCTTTTAGTTTTAGTATATGTTTATGTGATAGTATGTATGATATGAGCACTTCTCTTAGTACTCTATTCTCTCTTGACTGTTTCTTTTCTATTCCTATGTAATTTATTCTGCTGATTATTTTAATTGCGACTGTTTCATTATTTCTTATGTCTATACCTTTATATACGTAACTAGTTGTACCTGTCTCTATTACTTCTTTAAGTATATAATTATTCATTCTTTCGTGTTTCTTCTCATGCATGGATTTAGAAATTTTTATTGTATTTATTCTCTTCCCCTTATCTCCTACGGGGTATGATGATACATAGTGATAATAGTGCAATAAGTAATACATAGTGATAATAGTGCAATAAGTAATAAATAAAATATATATAAAATAAGTATAAGACATAATAACCAATGAGTAATAAATAGTAAATACCACACAATATGCAATAAGTTATATTAAGTTATATTAAGTAGTAATAAGTAGTAGTATATGTGTAATAAGTTATATTATTTATTCTATATTGTGTAATAAGTTATAATATATGTGTAATAAGTTATATTATCTTGTGTTATTTACTGTGTATTGTGTAAGAAGTAATGTGCATTGTGTAATAAGTAGTAATAAATGTGTATTATATTGTATTATTTATTCTATATTGTGTAATAAGTTATAATATATGTGTAATAAGTTATTCTATATTATGTACATTGTGTAATAAGTTATATTATTTATTCTATATTGCGTAATAAGTTGTATTATATTATTATATTATTATTTATTATATTATTATATTATTTATTATACTATGTGTATTATCTTATATTATTTATTATGTATAGTGTACTATTTATTATTTATTATACTATGTGTACTATATTACTCCGTTTTCTCCTCATTTTTTTCTTTTATATTAAGTCTCTCCTTTACTTGTCCTCCTTGCTCCTTTTCTGTTGGTGTACTGCAATCACTCCTTATAACAGCAGGATATCTCACTGGCTTATTAAGGCACTTACTCATCCTGTACTTAACTAAGTCAGGGATACTTCTACACTCCCCTTTTGTTTTATCTAAGCATGTGCTGTGTGATGAGTGCATTGAATTACTCTTCTTACTGGGTGGTATTGTATAACGGACACTGCTCTTATTAGACTTCATCATAGAGAACAGACTAAGAACCCTTTTATACTCAACAGAAGCAGAAGAAGAAGTAGAGGGATAAGCAGGTGTATGTGTAGAGTGTGAACCAGTGGGTGTACTGCTTATATGCCCCTGGTTACTATTAGTATGTGTACCACTGCTTGTACTGCTTATACCTGTACTAGTACTGCTTATATGCCCCTGGTTACTGCTTATACTGCTTGTACTGTCCATTATTATCGTATCCAGAATATTTGATATATTGCTTAATAAGTCTGTGCTCCCTAATGGACTTATTACACTTTGTGTATTATATTTATTACTTATTACACTTTGTATATTATATTTTACATTACTTATTACGCTTTGTGTATTATATTTTGCATAGATTATTTCTCTTCTTTTTTTTTCTACCCCTGTAAAAATTCCTTTCGTTTTCTCTTCCAGCAATAACTTATTACACAATAACTCTTTAATCTTGTTGTACTTCACTAAGTACTCCCTCTCTATATAAGACAAGTACCATTCTTTAGTTAATACTATCTTATTAGACTGTAATAGAATATACTCTAACGGTAGATTGCTTATATTATGTATAAATACTTCTAATGAGGAGATCTTCTCTGGTGTGATATTACTTTGTATGCTATGTGTATTATATTCTGTATCTTCTGTTATTAAGTACCTTCTGCTCTGCCTTGTCTTTATTTTTGTCTCTAATTCTAGCATTACGTTAGAATTCATCTCCTTCTCTTGTTCCAGTAAGGAGATCTCTTTATTTAACTGTTTTAATCTTCTTTTGTTTCTTTCTCTTGTTTCTTCCTGTGTACGCTTCATAAAAATAAAAGTATAATATAATACACTATATATAATAAATAGTATACACTTATTACACTATACATAATAAATAGTATATATAGTACATAACTTATTACACAATATAACATAACTTATTACACAATATATAATAAATAGCATACAATATAATATAACTTATTACACAATGTACATTATATACTATATACTACTCACTTACACATTACTTACTACACATAATACATTATATACTACACAATGTATAATAAATAGTACTATCATTCATAATTTATTACATAATATGCACTATATACTACATACTACTTATTACACAATATAACATAATATACTACTTATTACATAATATAACATAACTTACTACACAATATACATAATATACTACTTATTACACAATGTACATTATATAGTACTCTATCATTCATAATTTATTACACATATACTATTATATACTACACATACACCATTATTTATTACACATATACTATTATTTATTACACATATACTATTATTTATTACACATAGTATATTATATACTTATATACTCCACAGATATATTCTCCTATTTAATCATACTTATATTATTACACACTGTATCATATATTTTATTCTCCTATGAATTTATTTAAATAAATTCAAGGAGTAAATTCATGTCAGAAGACAAAGAGAACAGAAAAGAAAGAAGAAAACCAATCCCACTGGATTACGAATCAATACAAAAAACAATCGAATCAACACTAACACCACAGAATATACCAGACATATCACTGAAAATCCCAAATACACTAATAACACACCCACCAAATACGTCACCATTCACATTCAAAGAGTCCCCACAGGAAGAGTTATCAGAGAGTAATTACCAATGCTGTGGTAAATCATTACCAACACTGCATGACTTAGTATCACACTATGAGAATACACACTATACATTTATATCACAGGATACAGATATAAATAGACTAAATGACAGCAGAGTGACTAATATGTATGTGAAGTGGTACGGTGGTAATGTACATAATGAAGTAGTACAAGTACCCACTGTTGTATTTAATGATAATATGACGTATGATTATTCTAAGCCAACTGCTTTTTATAACACTATATTACAGTCAGAGTCATTATCACTTGGTGTACTGCTGCCTCCTGTTGTAGTGAAGGACTTCAATATGGATGCAGAGGTTGAGATGATCGGTGAGTCACATTATGAGGATGAGGACAAGAAGCGGCCATTTAAGTGCAGTCATATTGGGTGTAATAAGAAGTATACGTCAGCGTATGGGTTAAAGTATCACATGAGCAAGGGGCACACTGGTGGTGGCATGGAGAGTGAGAAGCCGTATGCGTGTGATGTGCCTGGGTGTGGGAAGCGGTATAAGAATGCGAATGGGTTAAAGTATCACTTTAATAATGGACATTAGTTTATTATATAATATATAATATATAATAAGTAATACTTATTACTGTATGTGTTAGATAAAATATTATTTAATGCATTTTGTGCAGTAATAAGTGTTAAATAATTATTTGGTATTCTTATAAGAGTATTCAGTACATACATAATAAATAATGGACTATTTAAATATTTATTACACATTGCATAGTATATAGTACACATAGTAT